TGTGTTTCTGTACAGTACATTTGTGAAAATGGTTCTATATAGCACCCAAAATGTTCTTCTATTGTTTCAAGCTTGACATCTTAACAGTAGGAGATGCTGTAGAACATATTCTGCATCAAGCTGACGAACCATTTCACCATGCAAACAACATTTAAAGCATGAAATGATTTTATATAGAACTCATGATTCTAAATAATCCATTGGCTTTACTAAAGAACACTAACGTGTGTAGACTACAGTATCCAAAAAAGAACATATAAACCTGTGACAGTTTCCAATATAACCACCAAAAAAGCATAAAGAAAATGAATTAATGTTAAGTCACTCAGTGTAACTCTTACCTGGGTGTTTAGGCTTCGTTTTCTCCTCTTCATGCATTTCAGTTTGCTTCTCTTCACTGTGTGATCTGTATCTCTCTATCTTCTCAGTACATATCTGGCCACTTTAACCCCTCCTGTCTGTGTCATCAGCAGTCCTGCTAACTGATGTTATCTGAATCATACAGGCCACAGTTTCAATGCCCAAAAGGCTATAAGACACTTTTCATGAATTTCCAGTAAGACATGGTCAATGACAACCTATTTTATAGCATTATTTTATGGTGAGTTATATAGAATATTGTAACATTGGCATTTAAAATGATTGTTAGTGAGTCCAAAAAAAAGGTTTTTCAATTTTTCTTCATTTGGTGCATCCATACACCAACATGACGTCAATATACAGGAACTAAAAAACAAATTAGCCTTTTGAACACGGAAATAACAGAGACATGCCAGTGTAGTGCAGGTACACATATTTTGCATGTGTTCACACACACACATCAGTGGAGACAGAGAGGGTCTAATAAGATCATTTGCAAATACGTTGAGCTGACGCTGTAGCCTCGAATTGAACAGCTGTCTTAGAATGAGGTGCAACATAGCTCTGTGACATCAAATATCCACCTCCATGGTTTTTTATTTATTGTTTTCTAAATGATCATTGCTTTTGTTTATGCTGCACTCATGTCATCAAATGAATTTATAATGGGATATCAGGTCCAGTTTTGTTAAAAAGTCCATTGATGATGACCTCAAAGTGCTGGTGTTGTAGTAATAACCTAGGTTTAATTTGAAATCCATTTTGAGGAACTCCTGCCATTTGCGTTCTGTACAGTCCTAGATAGTGTCGTTATCAACACATCGACATGTTCCTGGTCTGCTGTGTGGCAAGTAAAACACTTTGCATATTGTCACTGTTGGAACAAAACCTCGTATCTCTGAAAAAGTAACTAAGGAAAACGTTCTTATTGAAAGTTTCAATGTAAGTTAATGCAACACGACTTTTATTCTAAGCCAAAGCTTAGAATAGTATCATAGGTGTATATCTGAGGTGTGTTTTAGGTGTCTGAGGTGGAAGAGACGCTGGTGGGCCTTCTTCACCAGAGAGTTGATGTGGCCAGACCATGACAGGTCCTGCAAGATGTGAACTCCAAGGTATTTGAAACTGTCTGCTTTTTTCCACTGCAGCTCCATTTATGCATACAGGATGGATGGTAGCTCCTCTCCTGCTTCTTGCTGTAGTTCACTATCAGCTCCTTAGTCTTTCTGACATTAAGGAGGAGATTATTACCTTGACACCAGTTCTCCAGGTGCTTAATCTCCTCCAGGTAGACCCTCTCATCGTCAGAGATCAGACCTACTGACAACAGTGTCGTCAGCGAACTTGACAATGGTGGTAGAGCTAGAAGTGGCCACACTGTCATATGTGTACAGTGAAAACAACACAATAATAATGAAATCATAAGTGATTTTCACATTTTTTTTCTTTACTCCAGTTGTTTACTAATACAGTTCAAAATGAATAAGGCTTAAAGCAAAATGAATAAACCATTTAGAGTGTGTGGGGGGTATTTCTTATCCATACCTAACTTCCTATGAGACTGTGTGTATAATCATGTTTTTACTATATATCTGTTTTTTTCTATTTTAATATGTAATCATAAGGAATTCCAAGTGTAATTGCCTCATTATTTCTGTCAGTTATCATGAATGTAAGAAACTAATTTCAAACTAATGGTAAAATGTCTGACTTTGAACATCTGATATGTGTTCTATGTTCTATTGTGAATAAAATATGGGTCTATGAGATTTGCAAACCATTTCATTCTGTTTTTATTCACATTAATTTACATTTTACACAGCGTCCCAATTTTTTTGGAATTGAGGTTGTGTATAGATACACACACATGCATGATTTGTAGAACAGGTGTTTAATATACATTATTCTAGCTAAACATAGACATTCCAGTTAATCATAAATAAATATTTTTTTTTATTTGATTATTAACACAAATGTTGAAGAAAATGAAAATATTTAGAAAAATTACACGTCAAAGAGGAAAGATGATATCATTGTCAGAAAGAAACAAGTTCAGAGGAGACAAACACTCTCAAAAAAAAAATTCGGTCCCACTTTATATTGTGTCTCTAATAACTGTGTAGTTACACATGAATAACATGCAACAACATTGTAACTACTGATGATTTAGTCAATGTTATAGATAGATTACAGAACTACAGCCTATGTAATTACACATGTGTGTCAACTTGTTTTGCCTCATATAATTAAACAAGTGTATCTTCTACACAGGAACTTTCCTGTAGTTTAGTGTTAAAGTTACACTTTTAAATAAGTGGACAGTTCCTGTGTAGTTGTTATGTAGGTACTGTGTAATAATGGAGTTGTAATGTAGACATTTCTTTGAGGGTAATGTAACACGTCTAAGTAATGTTACAAAACACCTGCTTTTCCAGTATGATTGCAAATGTAATCACATTTATGTTATTACCCTTGTGTAATTACATGAGAGAGAATAGACTGTTACAACTATCAAGATACACTTGTGTAATTACATGAGGCAAAACTGAAAAACACATGTAATTAAATAGGCTGTAGTTCTGTAATCCATCTGTAACAATGAGTAAATCATCAGTAGTTACATTGTTGTTGCATATGTTATTCACAAGTAACTACACAGTTATTAGAGAACCATCTATATGGCATTCTCAATCAGTCTGAAGAACACTTTCACAATGCAAAGAACCCTTTAATTATGCAAAGGGTTCTTTGAGTGTTCATGATTCTACATAGAACCATTTTTTTTCACTCACGAACCTTTGAAGAACAACCTTTTTTAAGAGTATGTATATTTAGAGTATATTTCTTAATATCAATTTGTTTAATTCAAATGATATTAATACTTAATGTCCAGTTACAAATTCAGCTCAGGTTAGTCATTGTGTAAGCAGCTAAAAATGCTTTGAAGAGATATTTAGTTTAAGGAACTTTGAGGGCTTTTTTTGCTTGTTTGTTTTAAAGGCAATTTATTTTAGAAGTAAAACTTCCAAAACAAACGTTCTAATGACATTTTGAAATTATGATCTGATTTTTGTCTAATAAAACATTCCAAGGCAAATAATTTATTTATAAGAATGAATTTATTCATATGTGATTATTTATTTAATAACGTCATGTTTTTTATTTAATTCTGGTGTGAACTGGCCTTTTTTTGTGCACCACTAAAGACAGTAACATCAGGGTGGTTACAGCAAATGGTCAGACGGTGACACTGGACAGCTCAGATGTTGGATCAGATATTACACAACAGAAAAAAAAAAAAACAAACAAAAAAAAGTTCCAAATCTAAATGGCGTATGACTGAAATAAGCCCCTGTTTCAAACCATGGGCAATACTGTGTGAGCTAACAAAAATAGATTAGAAGTCTGACGTTTGTAAATCTGTGTTTCATGATCATCTCCAAACTACACACAACTCTGAATAATCTGTGTATAATGAGATACAGTTTGAGAATCTGAGGCTTTTACAGTAAACAATAACAAATATAATTCAAATGGTGACCAAACCAAATTGAATAGATGACCACATTGTTGAATAAGAGAAATGTTACTTACTCTCATGGTAGATGAATGGGTTCATTGTTTTGCAGTCCACATCAGGCCATTGACCCTGGTCAGTCATAGACAATGCAGTATAGTTCTTATTTTCATTTTCTATCTGGTCAGATCTCCAGTGTCTGAATGAGGAGTTACTCTGATCTGACCACTTCCAGGAGTTGTTGAACAGGCTGATCCATTCTATACTTATATATTTTAGAATATGGAACTCATCTTGAAATATTATTCACTTATTCAAGTCTTATTAGTTCTAAAGCAGTAATCCTCCAGTGAAACAATATACATGATGCTACTTAGAACCTGTAGGAATCAAAGGGCAATTTGGCATTAATAGCATGTTAATTTAGGTGGTTATTCATGCTCATTAATTTGGATAACAAGGCATTAACAAAAAGTTTATTGAGAGATTGAGATGAGAGATTTGACTAATAATGCAATTATTTTCAAACAAAAGGCCTCTAGTTTTATAATGATACAGTTCAAGATGATAAAAAAAATGAATGCAGAGTTACAAAAAACAACACTTACAATGGTCTAATTAAGGCTTTATTGAACAAATAACAATAAGGTATAATAATGGACAGAGACCAAAATACGCTTATAAAGACTTGAACTGAAATGAGCTTCTTACATTTATGAAAACTGACAGAAATAATGAGGAAAGTACAATTGATATTCCCTATAATAACAAAGTATAATCGATAAACATGTATACAGAAAAAATATAATTATACACACAGACTCATAGAAAGTTATGTATGGATAAGAAATAAAACATACAGTTTACGCTAAAAGTTCTAAACTATTGATGCTCAAATGTTACTGCATTCTAGTCGTGGTTCAGAAATGAGGTCCACTGTAACTTAGATGGATAAAAAAGGTAAAATCCACATACCAAACACACAGGACTACATGAAACGTTTATGTTGGTAGACCAGTATAACTCTCACTATCAAGAAAAACAAATAAAAAGTATAAAACTGTAGATCTGCTGATGATGGTTATGGAAGAGGAACCACCTGGTTTCAGTCTTCATTGTTGGGAAGAGAAAGACAAAAAAATAGGGGTTACAAATGCATCTACCTAAATATTCCAGTAACACTCACACACAGTAACTAACCTTCATAGGTAATGCAGATGAAGTTGAGTTTGTGGTCCTCAGGCAGGCTGACCCACTGCTGACCTCCTCTAGACTGCACCACTCCAGTTCTCTCTACAGGGCTGCAGTCTTCTCCTCCTGTCCCGTTACCTGGAGCCCAGTTCTGGTAGCAGATAGACTCTCCACTCACCCAGAACCAGAAGCTGAGGGTGCAGGTGTGACGCAGACCCAGCCACACATGTTCAGTGGAGGCTTTCTGTGCCACCTCCTTCACCCAGAGCTGGATCTCCTCAGAGTGAACTGAGACCAGATCCACATGATTCACTCTGCAGTATCTCAGAGCTTCTCTCCAGGTCAGAGTCTCATTGATCAAGATCAGCTTATCTGGAAGCAGAAGGAAAAAGGTCAACCGGGATAATACACAATAACGCAGGGATAGGAAGAATTAGTGATAGTCAACGATGCAATGTTGTTTGACTTGCTCATGAAGTTCATCATAAAGTGTTCATCATAAAGTGTTTTTTTATGCACAGTAAATGGAATAAACAGAAAGAAGCACAATGACTGTCATGACTGTATTTATAAATGGAATCATGGAATACAGTGGCATGCTAATTTTTACGTCATTAATTTTTTTAAATTGTTACGTCAGCTAACAGACGCCCGCGCTGACTAACATCGCGCTGAGTGATGGGGGAGAGGGAGGGGCCATTCCACCCACCCAGAGAGAGCGAGGCCAATTGTGCTCTCTCGGACTCCCGGCTACGGATGGCTGTAGCATCACCAGGGATCGAACTCTTACATTTTTTAAATAAAGTTTGGTCACCCCAAGAGATGTGAGCTCTCAGGTAACTTTTACCAAGGTCTCAGACCTTAATTAGCTTGGTAGGGCTATGGCTTATTCAGATACATCATTATAAAGACCAGGTGATGCAAATTTCAAAGTTTTATAAATACTTTGGAGATTCTGGAGTGGTGGTGCACTGTTCTACTGTTCAGCACACATGTGCAAATATGACCTTCTTCAGAATCTTCAGAAGAAAACCTTTCCTGCATCTTCACTACAAAATTTAACTTTACTACAAACCTGGTGCATTTTGGGAAAACAAGCCCTGTGGACTGATAAAGGTAAAATAGGACTTTCTGGTTGAAATGGGAAAGTATATTTGGAGAAAAAGGGTGCTGAATTTCATGAAAAGAACACTGCAACTATTAAGCCAAGGGGTGGATTGATCATGCTTGTATTGCAGCAAGTGGCACAGAGACCACTTCACTGCTAGAAGGAAGAATGGATTTGATTAATTACCAGCAAATTCTGGAAGCAAACATCACACCATCTGTAAAAAAGCTGAAGATGAAAATATAATGGCATCCACAGCAAGATAATGATCCCAAACACATCTCAAAAGCCCTTTCGCTTTGGGTCCTTTTTCTTTTTTATCTCTGTTATTTTGAAACTATAAAATATAGAAAAAAGAAGGAGTCTTGTGTAAAATATTAAATGTGTCATTTTTTTAAGCCTTTTGGAAATCAGGTTGTCTGTGACTCGCTTAGATATTCACAGTAACAGAATTCTGACCTGGGGTGCCCAGTGTTTTGCATGCCACTCTATGTATTTACTGTTCTATACTCACTTTTTAATTTATGCTATACACACACACACACACACACACACACACACACACACACACACACACACACACACATCTTCTAAGCCACTTCTCCCTCTGCTACTGAGGTATTGAAGTTATTTATAGCAGCATACAGTTCAGTACAGTTTTTTGGTAACACTTTGTAATACGGTTTCTTAGTAACCCAGAAACTATGCAAGGGTTTTTTTTTGTTTTTTTTTTTTGTTGTTTTTTTTTAAAGAAATGTTTAAAAAATTATCAAGTCTGAGGTTTGAATACCAGTGTTTCAAGGTCATCTCCAAACTACACACAATGAGATACACTATGCTAAGAAAAACTTTGAGTTCATCCATGGGTTTTGCAGTAAACAATAACAAATACAATGCAGAAGGTAAACCACCCAAACTGAATAATAGTTGAATAAGTGAAATATTACTCACTCTCATGACAGATGAAAGGGTTTTGTGTTGAACAGTTCACATCATGCCAGAGACCCTGGTCAGTCATAGACACTGCAGTACAGTTCTCAGTCCAATCCAGACTAAATGGCTGGTTAGATGGCCAGTATCTGAATGAGCAGTTACTCTGATCTGACCACTTCCAGGTGTCATTAAACAGGCCAATCCAAACAAATTCAGTGATTGAATGGTTTCTAAATTTCCAGACCTCTTGGTTCTCAGTCTGCTTCCTCACACTGGCCAAGTCTGTGTAATGTTCTCTGCAGTAGCTCTGAGCATCTTGCCAGCTCTTTGTCTCATTGATAAATATGTATTTAGTAGTGTTTGTCTTGTTTTCTGAAAGACATTCAAATTAATTGATTTTTAAAATGATAAAATGGATGAATTACGTTATTCATGTTTCAAATTTTATAATCAACAATGATACAAATATTAAGCAAATTGAGTATTTTAGACACTAAGTTAATAAACTGACAGTGTCATTAACATGTATATGTTCTTACTATCATAACACACAAAAGGATATGATTTATAATAGCTTTCATCAGTCCAGGTTCCAGTGTCGTTCTTCACTGCAACATAGTATTGTTTCCTGGCATAATTGTTTGGCTCTCCACTGTTCCAGTGTCTCCCTCCCTGTACAAATGTTCATCTGCCAGAGACCACAGCCATTTCCCAGTGTTCCTTCTGTCTAGACCGATCCACACAAAGCTTCTAGTTTTATCTTTCAGAGTAATATTCAGCTTCTTCATCTCCTCCATGTTGTTGATGGTGGCCAGATCAGTGTAGTTCTGTCTGCAGTAGCTCTGAGCTTCAGTCCAGGTTTTACTCTCATTCACAAAGTGATATCTATGAGGAATGTATGCAGATACACCACAGACAGCTGTGAAGAACATGAGAAAGAGCCTCATTATCATGTGAAGTTAAACTGGAGTAGAACACAAACAGCAAACATGTAAAATTCTATTTAACTGGCCAACAGGTGTTTACTTGCTGTCCATGAATATTAAAATAAGTAAACATAATGTTAATAAAACAAGTAGTGATTTTATATGTATTAATGTATTTGTTGAATCATTTCCAAATGGCAGTTTAGATGGTTATGTATGTCAACTGTCTTTTGTTTTTCTTTTGTTTTTTTGTTTTTTTTAGTAAATCATTTCAAACAATTTCATTAGGTGGCTAAGACTTTTGCAAAGTACTGTTTAAGAGTAAGAAAATAAGAGGACTCTCAAAAACTCTTTGCCTTAAAGACACAGACACATACACACACTGACCTGAGATAAGGAAGAGAACAGAAACCCATTTCTGATCCATTTCTGAAAGAAAAGAAGAGAAGAAAGTACATTTTTTGCACAGTGCTGTGAACAAGTATTTCCCCCTTCATCAAACTACTTTGTTAGACAAAGATAACCCAAATAAACAGACAATGCTGTTTATAAATGATTATTTCATTTATTGAAGGGAAAATGCTATTCAGCCCTACTTGACCCTATGTGGAAAAGTAATTGCTCCCTTAGCTAATAAATAAACCAAAATTATGTGATTAGTGGGTTCAATTGTACTAGCCACTCCCAGGCATGATTACAGCACTTAAATAGAAACTGTCTGCCAATGTGAAGCAGGCTAGAAGGTCTCAAAAGCAGCACATGACACCAGGTTCTAAAGAGATTCAAAGACAGATGTGAAACAAAGTCATTGAAATCTACCAGTCTGGAAAGGATTACAAAGCCATTGCTAAGGCTCTGGGACTCCAGTGAATCACAGTGAGAGCCACTATCCACAAACAGAAAAAAACTAGGAACAGTAGTGAAATCTTACCAACCTACCAAATTTTCACCAAGAGCGCATTGCCGACTCATCTAGGATGGAACCATGAATTCTGCTCTATGTCAGGAAATTCTGAAGGATAATGTCTGCCCATCAATTAGTGACCTAAAGCTTAAGTGCAGTTTGGTTATGTAACAGGACAATGATCTAAAGCACAAAAGCAAGTCCACCTCTGATTGGCTCAAAAGAAACAAAATGAAGGTTTTGGGATGGCCTATTCAAAGTCCTGACCTGAATCATATTGAGATGCTGTGGTAAGACCTCAAACAAGCAGTTCATGCTTGAAAACCCTCCAATGTAGCTGAATTAGAACAGTTCTACAAACACAAGTGGGCTAACATTCCTCCACAGCGATGTAAAAGACTCATCACTTATCATAACAACATTATCACAAGTGTTTGATTGCAGTTATTACTGCCAAGCATGTCACAACTAGTTATTAGGTTATTATTATGAATCTTTATCTTCAATAAATGGAATGATCATTTTAAAAGCTGCAAAACTCATGTGTTTACTCATGTTGTCTTTGTCTTATATTAAATGTAGTTGGATCATGTGAAACATTTAAATGTAACAAATGAGCAAAAATACAACAAAGTCAGGTGAGGTGCAAATACTTATTCACAACAAAGTACATTTTTGTTAATATCACACTATTAACAAATAATGCAACATATCTAGCAGTAGTAGTGCTTAAGTACTTGCGTCTTGTTCTTGACATGTTTTCCATTGTCTTTGGCTTGTTTTGTTCTCCATTATTGGTCTTGCCATATCTGGTCACAGATTTTTCTGTTTCTGCCCAGATATTAAAACTTTGACTATCATATGATGCCCAGGATGGTGGATGTGAAGGAATTAGTGTGGTTTTACTGAGGGAACTAAGTTTTTTTTTTTTTTGTGTGTGTTTTTTGTTAATTTGAAGCATGCATAAGCATGCCTGTATCTTGTACATATATACACAAAATATACAACTTCATACAAATATGAACTTTGCATTCATAGATTTTATCTTTCACTAATAAATGGTTAAATCTAATGCATTTCCTTCATTACAATTGTAATGGTGGCAGATGGAACCAGACACTTGCAGCAGAGGCTTGGGTTCAAAAGTTTAATACCAAAGGGGATTTTCAAAATCACAGTCTGTAAATGGGAAGCAAAGAGTTGAAAACCAGAATATCAGAACAGAACAAAGGGGCAAGACTAGAAACGTGCCACAAACAGAAAACAGATCATACACAGAGTACCAGAAAATAACACAGTGCAAACGCACATGAGAGTGACATTACTTCACAGAGAAACTAAGCTAAAGCCCGGGCTTATATACTAAACTAACAAACACAAAGAACAAGGAACAGGTGAGAGTAATTAGAAATCTGGTGAACTGGAACGGTGATGGATCTGTTTGTCTTGGGTCACGTACAGCAGCAAGGGGTTTTGGGAAACGTAGGCCCGAGCGACAGCATTGGTTGTAGGCTGAGCCATGTCGGAAGGAGGCGTGACAGTACCCCCCAAAGGAGCCCAGGACGGCCGAGTAACGGGGGCAAGTGCAAGTGACCACCACCTACCCAACCGGAGACATCTCAGGGCGAAAACCCAAAGCGGTATCGGTGCTGGACGGAAGTAGGGCTACTGGAACGGACTGGACTAGTCTGATGGGTTGCTATTGCTGAATGATCGGAGGTACTTTCCTAACTCTTGATTAACTCTTTCACACTGTCCATTGGATTGTGATAAATAACCTGAGGTGAGACTGACGTTGATCCCTAAGTGTTAACAAAAAAACAGACCAAACTCAGGAGGTGAATTGTCCATGATCAGAAATGATGTCTTCTGGTATGCCATAATTTCAGAAGATGTGTACAAGGCTGTATCAAATGCAATAGGTATAGATATAAAGGTAATGAATCTTGCTTCTCTAGAGAAACTCAACTATGGTGAGTATAGTGGTAAAACCCTCAGAAGGGGGCAAGTCAGTAACAAGATCAATCACAATGTGTGAACATGGCCATTCTGATACAGGCAAAGGAATGAATTTACCAGCTGGGAGTGTTTTAGAGGTTTTACTCTGTGCACATATTGAAAAAGATGCTACAAACCTATGAATATTCTGCTTGAGAGTCTTTCACCAATAGCGATTAAGTAGAAGTTATCAAGTTGTTATCAATCGATCCAGAAATTGGTCGGGCACAGAGCTTGTTGGATGAGATTTGTAGAGTGGAAGAGAGAATGGGCTTGGGCTCAGACAGGATCTCTCTCTCCTGAACGCTCTGATGAATCTGGGGCAGGGCATTGGCTTTTGAATTATGAGGACCAGAGTGGTATGAAATACTAAACTGGAGAGAAACAGAGACCATCTAGATTGTTTAGGGTTGAGATGCTTAGCTGAACGTAGATATTGTAGATTTTTATAGTCAGTGAGGACCAAAAATTGGTGAGCAGCTCCTTCTAGCTAGTGGAGCTATGAGAGGAGCGGCAATTGTGCTAAAATAATGAATAAACCTTCTATGGATGTTGGCAAATCCTAAGAATCTTTGCAATTCTTTGATACCCGTGTGTTTGGGGGGGTAGGCGAAGTGACAAAAGCTTTAACTTTCTGATCTATCAGAACACCCTGAGAACTAATAACATATCCGAGGAGGGAGACTCTTTGGAGATGAAATGATGAAATTCCCATTTCTCACCTTTGACAAACAGGTCATTTTCAAGTAAGCGACTCAAAACTTGATGTATTTGTTGCATGTGTTTTATAATCAGGGAAGTAGATTAATATGTCATTTATGTATGCTATGACGATTTTCCCTATCATGTCACGGAGAACGTTGTTGATGAAAGACTGGAAACTGATGGGGCATTGGCTAAACTGAAAGGCATGACAGAGTACTCATAGTGCCCTCTAGTGATAATAAATGCCGTCTTCCATTCATCCCCCTCTTTAACACGTACTAGGTTGTAAGTGCTACACATGTCTAATTTAGGGAAAACCAGGCACCACAAAGTTGTTCTAGTGCAACAAGGAGTCAGAGATAGAGAAAAAGTGAATATTCGGTGATGTTATTGAGGGGACAGTAGTCTATGCAGGGTCTGAGACCTCCATCCTTCTTCTTAACAAAGAAGAATCTGGTTGCGAAGTGGATGGATGACTAAAACCTTGACCTAGGGCCTAATCGATATACTCATATACACACGGGATTTGGGCAAGTAGCCACCTCTATGATGTCCACTGAGCAGTCATAGGGACGATGAGGGGGAGTTCAGTGGCATTTTACTGAACACTTCTGTAAGATCAGACTATTTGGAGAGAATTGGTGAGGAATGAGTGGTCTCTGGGTTTTCTATGGTGGTTGGTCTAATTCTAAGTTCTGGGGATGAAATGGGTTCTTTGTGGAGAAAAGTGGTCTCTATTAAACCAGGTTCTGTGACAATAGAAATGGGATCCACTCCAACAGGTCCTCCATCCAACGCAGTGACCTTGAGGGGCATCTGAAGATCTTGTACCGGTATGTGTAGTTTAACCATAGAGCAATTACCTTGTTTGAGCTTGCACAAGAGTTCTCTATTAAAACCACGATCTTGAGGATGGTCAAATACAGTCTTAAAGTCTTTCAGAAATTACTCATAAGACAAATCCTGTAACTGACATAACCCTACAGTAGCCCACTCCAATGCTTTATCCAAAAGATGTGACACAGTAAAGGTGGTCTTAAATATGGTTTATATGATTTGCAGATCATTGCATTCTATTTTTATCTACGTTCTGCACAGCGGCTCAACTTTTTTTGGAAATGTGTTTATAAATTATACACATTCACATCACATAATATATTCCATCAATGCTACTGAAGGAAGAAAAATACGCAATCCTACAAAACAGGCAGTTTTCATTTTACAGTTACTGTGAATACCGGTTTACATTAAGTAGACTAGATGTCCAAATGAAAATCTGTATTTTTGTTGCAGTTGTTGAGTTTACTGACGGCTTTCATGTTATAAATATACAGAATGTACTGACAGATGGAGATCAGGTGGGCAGACCAGTTTGATTTCCCATTGGCTGACTTGGCTGAGCTTGAGGTGTGTTCAGCAAACACTCGGCTTCATAAAAACACTTCAGAACAGAGTACAATGGCTCTACATGATTACCCTATAAAGAAGAGATTTTTGAGATCTGAGCTTTTCCATCTGGACTTTCACTCCTGGAATGTGGTTCCAGTGTGTTCAACCCTGTCAATATAATTGTTTTTGAAAACTAGTAATTTTTAAAATAAGCTGCTTTAATGAACCATTACTTAAGATAATCTAAAAGTCAGCTAGCATGCTGAAAACACTCAAACACTCTTCAAAATATGAGAACACTCTAAGAAATATGCCAATAACAATATATACATTTTTGCCATGTTTGAGTCAATTCCACAATAAAACAAACTGAAAAATATCAGAGGTGCAAACATGAATCCATCAATACAGAATGTAAACTGAATAGAAATGCAGTGCATTACAAAACTATAAAAGCACAGTAATAACTGTAGATGAGCTTCAATCCTGTTTTCCAAGTGAAACTGTTATATTAAGAAATACTGACTGGAAACATTTAAAGACTAGGTTTAGGTGTTTTTGGGTCTTGATCTTGACTTGGTCTTTGTATGGTGATGAAAAGGTGTAGCCTTGGACTTATCTTAGGCTTAACCAAGATGATCTATTCTACCGCCCCAGTACGTAGTCCTATGTTTACATATACTCATTTCATCACAAAAATCACATTAACCTATATCAGATTCCATTATAAACACTAAAATAATATATAAAATGCTGGGAAATTGAATTAATGTTAAATCAGTGAATGTCAATCCTACCTCAGTGTTTGTTTTTCAGTTTACACTCTTCATGCACTTCGGTTTGCTTCTCTTCACCTCGTGACTCTGTATACTGTCATCTCGGGACATCTCTGTCACTTTAACCCCTCCTATCTGTGTCATTAGAATTCCTGATAACCGATATTATCTGAACCACACTACAGGTTACAGTTTCAGTGCCACAACACACTTTGCATGAATTTCTGTCAACACATGGTCAAAGACAGCGACCTTTTGTTTTATATTTTAATTCCTGATTATATATATTCATGCAAAGCATGTTATGGTCCTGTAGACACTGAAACTCCATCCTGTAGTGTGGTTCAGATAACATCAGTTAGCAGGAATTCTGATGACACAGATGGGAGGGATTGAAGCGGACAGAGATGTACCAAGATGAGAGAAAAAAAAACAGACATGCATGAAGTGGAAAATGAAGTGTGTATATATCTCCTAGCCCTAGTTTTTCAAATGTATTTTTCATTTGGTGCATCTGTATATTAATGTTCAGCAGTACTGAACCATGACTATTATAGCTAGACATTCAGTTCAAGAAATAAATAATAAAACTTGGTCAGAAACTAGGAACTCTACAATAATGCTTATTTCTGCTAGTGCCCCCTGAGGGATTCTGTCCGTATATTTACAATAAGCTAAAAGAAATCCACATGAACATTTTTCATGGGAAAAATTTTATGGGAGAGTTTACTTGACTGTGTCAACCAAGATACCACAAAGGAAAAAAAAATCTGATTGGATCATGTTCTGATTGGTCTATTAATAATATAACACTTTTTTATTTCGCAGAAATCATTAAGTCTAGATGGATTTGAGGTTCCCCACTGATGTACCAGACAAGCAAACAGGCTGTCTTTTTGCACACGGAAATGCCAGTGATGTGTTAGTTTAGGGAAAGTCTGTGTTTTGCATGTGTGTCGCATTTCATTTTGGACAAAGAGGTGCCTATGAGATCATTTGCAAATATGCTGCGTTGAAGTCTACTGCTCAGTACTTTTAAAATGAGGTGGATGGTGAAACAACATCATAATAATTGTTACAACCACATCCATTCTGCCAACAAAAGCTTAAAAAATTATTTTTCAATTTTACCTCAGAATCTGGTGACAATCAAAAGTTTATTAAACTTTCCAGGGAACACGGCCTGGTGAGGCTCAGTGATGAGGCCAGCATGGCAAGGCTAGAGGCCAGAGCTGGCACGAGGAAGTTCGACACCATGCTTAACACTGCGAGGCTGGAGGCCGGAGCTGCCATATGAAGGCCCAAAGATGAGGTGAGGAGTGCAATGTGGGTGACTGATGGCATATCTCTACTGTGACTGGCTGTGCTCACATGCACTAAGTGCACAAACAGGCAGGTCACCTATCACCATACAAAGTCCAAACATGGAGTCTACAAAGAACACACCAACTGCCCACAGCCCAGCACAGAATAGCACAAGCCACATGTCTGTGCTAATAACAGCTATGAAAATTAAATTGTCAAGGGTGTACCTATGAGGCCCTGCGCGATGCTGCTTTGCATGGCCATGCCTCCTGCATGTCTACAGCCAATTGTAGGTCACTACAATATAATCCCTCATACTACAAGCTTATTTGCATTTAAAAGATATTTCATTTAATGCTACTTAAAGACTGAATGTTTAAATCAATCAAATGTTTAAATCAGGCTTTATTGAATAAATAACAAGATCTTAATAAGCCTCCAATATGCGTTCCTTAAAATAGACTGTCGGGGGTGGAAGCATACAGGACATGTGCTTGTGATTATATAAATGAATAGAGACCAAGAGAAGCTTATAAAGACTTGAACTAAAATGAACTTTTTACCTTTATTTTAACTGACAGAAATAATATCTCAGTTACAAGTGATATTAGAAAATGCAAACAGTTATGTAGAAAAAGATAAGATTATAAATACAGCCTCATAGGAAATTGTTTTATGCATACAAAATACATACACTACTTTACAAAATACATACAATATACATGCTTACACTAATGGTGCTTCAATCAAAAGGAAATTTATTGCACTAAATAAACAACATTCAAACTATTTTCAGTGATATAGTTGACTGAAGGAGAAGCATGTAGAATTCAGATAATGTAATCAACTATTGGAATAGTATTTACAAGTAGGGCTTAAGATACATATGTATGTATGTATTTATGTACATATATCTATAAAAGAGCTTTAAACTTATTCATCAAAAGGCATCAAAACCTGAATGCATGAAAGTGAAATTGCCGCCTTACTCTGTCGAGAAGACAAGCTGGACCTTCTCTGTTAGTGTAGGATGGGTCCTTGGACACTCTTGTGGCATGGGTGCACTCTGCATCATCCAAAGCAGCTTCGCTGCAGCAGCGGGGCAGGCAGATGTTCAAAGATTATACTGCGCCAGTGTTAAAAATAACACTGCGGCCAACAGATCTTTCACTCAAGCGATGACCAAAATCTCTGACCACTGACATGAAAGCAAATTCAAGGGTAAGTCTAGAATGGACTGAATGACTAGAGTCCTGCTTTGACAGATGGGGAAAACTTTCCTTTATTATCTGGGCCATGTTATTCGTCGTATATATATATATATATATATATATATATATATATATATATATATATATATATTAATAACTCATCACTGTCCATAAAAAAAAATAACATATGTCTCCATTTTTGTCAATTTTTAATGTTTTTACATGACTTCAACATGCCAGAAGTCCTTTATGTCATGTGTAAATTTCATGATAAATGGACCAATAGAAATGCTCTAAAATCACTTGGAATAAAATCTCTTTATTACATATTAAAATAGACAAAGAGGTATACAGAAAAAAATATAATTTGTGGATAAGACAGGCATACAATTTACACTCAAAGTTATTTTATGAAATATTGATGCTTAAATTATATTGCATTCTGGACGTGGTTCAGGAATGAGGTCTATTATAGCTTTGATGTATAAAAAGGTAAAATCTGCATACTAAAAACACAGGACTATATGAAACATTAATTTTGGTAGATTAATACAACCCTCGCTATCAAGAAAAGCAAATAAAAATGATAAAACTGTAGATCTGCTGATGCTGGTTATGGAAGAGGATCCACCTGGTTTCAGTCTTCATTGTTGAGAAGTGAAAGACGAAAAAGACAGTTTACAAATGCAAATTACATCAATATTTCAGTAACACTCATGCACTGTAACTAACCTTCATAGGTGGTGCAGATGAAGTTGAGTTTCTGGTCCTCAGGCAGGCTGACCCACTGCTGACCTCCTCTAGATTGCACCGCTCCAGTTCTCTCTAAAGAGCTGCAGTCTTCTCCTCCTGTCCTGCTACCTGGGGCCCAGTTCTGGTAGCAAATAAACTCTCCACTCAACCAGAACCAGAGGCTGAGGGTGCAGGTGTGACGCAGACCCAGCCACACATGTTCAGTGGAGGCTTTCTGTGCCACCTCCTTCACCCAGAGCTGGATCTCCTCAGAGTGAACAGAGACCAGATCCACATGATTCACTCTGCAGTATCTCAGAGCTTCTCTCCAGGCCAGATTCTGATTGATCAAGATCAGCTTATCTGGAAGCAGAAAGGAAAAAGATAAACCAAGATAATACACAATAATGCAGGGATGGGAAGAATTAGTGATAGTCAACAATGCAGTGCGCTGTGACTTGTGCTTTATGCGCAGTAAATCGAGTAAACAGAAAGAAGCACATAAATGGAATCATGAAATACAGTTGCATGCAAAAGTTTGGTTTCTGTGAATAGTTAAGTGAGTAGAATATAAACAGATCTCTAAAAAAGCATCAAGATGAAACATTCTTGTAAACATTTTAGGCAAGCTTAACATATTATTTCTATTTAAATTATATTTATGTTTAAAATGAAAATGAAAGGGGCTCCATGCAAAAGTTTGGACACCCGAAGGGATTTGAGCTCTCAAATAACAAAGGTTTTAGACTGGATATGACTTGGTAGGGCTATGGCTTGTTCAGAAACATCATTATAAAGGCCAGGAGATGCAAATTTCAGCTCTACCTGTATGTGAACAAGGTCACCTAGTTTTATGTTTGAATTGCTGTATGTAGGCCATATGCCCTTCCTATAGTGGCCCCACCGACTTACCAAACCAAATTTGCATCCCTGATTGTTAATCACAATACTGGATAATCTGAAACTTACAAATCATACATAAAAGTTAGAAAATGTTGGAAAGTAGTTAATTTTATACCTTTATACCTTTTATATGTTTTTATGTTTCTATTAGTGTAGTTGTCTCTAAGGGCCTGATTCTCTTATGTCATCCTGTTTGGCACTTTGACACTAAAAGGACAAAGAAATGTAGGAATACTAAATAAAAAAAAAACATCCTATAGAGGGAATTTTTATTATTGTTAATTTAGTTAATTTCATTTGAAATTAATACTTAACTTCAAGTTAAAATGTCAGCTCAATTGTATAGGTACTTAGTCTGAAAAATAAAAATAAAAATGCTTTGAATTTTGCATGCTTTTAGGAATTATGAATGTTTTTTTTGTTGTTTTGTTTTAACAGACAGTGATTTAAATGTAAAAACATAAAATGAAATTGCTACTGATATTTAATTTTATATGGCATTTCAAATATTGATTTACATAATGAAATATTTCACTTATTTTTTTTTATTTCATTATGAAAATAAATGTATGTCTAACTAATGAGTTTAATCGTGCAAGATCATGCATATTATAATATGCATATTTTTAAACTGTGGTGTAAATATTGCATTTCTTTTTGTATGTTTTACATCAGCAAAAAACAGGAATTTTAGGTTGGTTACAGTAAATGGTCAGAATGTCATGTTGGACAATGCAGCACCTCATGGGGGTAGATATTGTGCAAAAGAAAAATGCTTAATTAATTGCCAGGTTTTGAGACATGAGACATGCCTCTGTTTAGCACATACATTTGCACATACATGAGCTACTTTATGAGCTGTTGATGATAGATTTAATGTCTGAAATTTAAGTAACAGTGTTTCACGATCATCTCAGAACTACACACAACTCTGAATATGGCCTTATCTTTGCACAATGACATACAATATGATAAGAAAAAAGAGTTTAGCAGAGGGTTTTGCAGTAAACGATAACAAATTCAATTCAGAAGGTAAACCAACTAAACTGAATACATTTTGAATCAGTGAAAAATAACTCACTCTCATGGCAGATGAAAGGGTTCTTTGTTTCGCAGTTCACATCACGCCAAAGACCCTGGTCAGTCATTGACACTGCAGCACAGTTCTGCTGCCAGTCCTGACTAAATGGCTGGTTAGATGGCCAGTTTCTGAATGAGGAGTTACTTTGATCTGACCACGTCCAGGAGTCATTGAACAGGCCGATCCAAACTACACCAGTAATTGAATGTGTTGCAGATTTCCAGATCTCTTCGTTCTCAGTCTGGTTCCTCACACTGGCTAGGTCTGTGTAATGTTCTCTGCAGTAGCTCTGAGCAACACGCCAGCTCTTTGTCTCATTAATCAAATATGTATCTAGCACTGTTTGTCTTGTTTTCTGAAAGACAGTCAAATTGTTCAGTTGTTAAAATTATAAAATAAATAAATTATTACATTTTTTATGTTTCTAATTTCATCTCCCAAAAAAGAACATTAGCACACATATCTTGAGCAGTCAGATTCAGTATTTTACAGAGCACATTAATAAACTGATAATGTCATTCATTAACATGTATATGTTCTTACGGTCATAACACACAAAAGTGTTTGATTTATCATAGCTTTCATCAGTCCAGGTTCCAGTATCCTTCTTCACTGCTACATAGTATTGTTTCCACGGATTATTGTTTGGCTCTCCACTGTTCCAGTTTCTGTACGTGTCTCCCTCCCTGTAGAAACTTTCATCTGCTAGAGACCACAGCCATTTCCCAGTGTTCCCTCTGACTAGACCAATCCAAACAGGGCTACTAGGTTTGTTGTTCAGAGTAGCATTCAGCTTCTTCATCTCCTCCATGTTGTTGATGGTGGCCAGATCAGTGTAGTTCTGTCTGCAGTAGCTCTGAGCTTCAGTCCAGTTTTTATTCTCATTCACAAAGTGATACCGATGAGGAACGTATGCAGATACACCACAGACAGCTGTGAAGAACATGAGAAAGAGGCTCATTATCACACACACACACACACATTTTCTAAACTGCTTATCCTTCTGGGTTGCAGGGGGCAGGGGGAACCTCAGTACTGTGCAAAAGAGAAAAATATATTTAACTGGCCAGTAGGTGTCTACTTGCTCTAAATGAAGACTAGAATAAGTAAAGATAATGTTAATTAAAAAGTAGTGATTTTATATAAACTAATATGTTTTTTGAACCATTTCCAAACCTCAATTCATGGCAGTCCAGTGTTATTTGTAGTTAACATCAGGTAGTTATCATCCAGTACATGTTCTGGCTAACTAATTCTTTCTAAAATGAACTGTGCTGGTGATTAATTTGATAAAATCTGTAAGATGTCTGGGGGCATCAAAAAGACATCCAGAAGTAAACTTGTGTTCTTCAAACCAGATTATAAAGTATCTAGAAAATATCATAACTTTTTACTGTATTTATGGTTTTCAGTTTGTATTCCAATATTATACAGCAGTTAGTTCTGACCACGCAAGCTGATTGGTTGAGAAGCGTTGTAACCATGCTGTTATTTCGCCATAACATCACATTTTTTTCACAAACACTGTATCACTCAGACATTGTAAATTGCCCCTAGGTGTGAGTGTGTGTGTGTGAATGTGTATGTCTGTCTGTCTGCCCTGTGATGGACTGGTAACCTGTCCAGGGTGTATCCTGCCTTCCGCTCAAAGACAGCTGGGATAGGCTTCAACTGAGCTAAACTTGATATTGTGGCAGTTTTATGGCTCAATCCGATTTGGTCAGACTCTGAAGATCAGACTACACGTTTGGCGAATGGTATTCGGTTCATTTCTGGCTAATTCCAGGTTGTTTAGCTGTTCTTCTGTCACAGCTGCCGACTGAAAAGCTGCTCAGTGGTGACAGTTTGGGAATTTTGTGTAATGAGCCAGAGAACGAACTGCCAGCTGTGCAGTAAGTGGGCGGAGCTCGTTACTCTGAAGTAGCAACAAGCTGCTTGTTAAGGAACTATAATTTGGCGGAAGGAATTGCTAACATTAAAACATATTAAATGCCACATTCACAGCCCAATTTATTTATTTATTACTTTATTTATTTAACTGTTGCATAAAAGCAATAGAATGCTCAAGGTCGTGTTATCGCGAATATCATCACGATTGTGATGATATTTCACGATAACACTCTCCTTCTTGTGTTCTTTTGCTTAATTAGATGGTTATGTATGTTAACTGTTTTTTATTGCTAAAATAAATAGTTTGAAACAATTTGATTAGGTGGCTCAGACTCTTAGAAAGTAGTTAAGAATATGAAAATAAGAAGACCAAAAAATGCTTCTTCTTGATAAACTGCCTTAAAGACACATAAACACACACTGACCTGAGATGAGGAAGACAACAGAAACCCATTTTGGATCCATTTCTGAAAAAAAAAAAAAAATGACTATTAGGTTCAGTTTCACTAGCCACTCCCAGTCATGATTTCAATACTTAAAAAGAACCTGTCTGACAATGTGAAGCAGGCTAGAAGGTCTCAAAGTCAGCATATGATGGCAAGATCTAAAGAGATTCAAATACAGATACAATACAAAGTCATTGAAATCCCCCAGTCTAGAAAGGGTTACAAAGCCATTGCTAAGGCTCTGGGACTCCAGCAAACCACAGTGAGAGCCATTATCCACAAATGGAGAAAACTTGGAACAGTGGTGAACCTTCCCAGGAGAGGCCAGCCTGCCAAAATTTCACCAAGAGCACATCAAAGACTCATTCAGGAGCTCAAAAAACTACCCAGATGAACATCTAAAGAACTGCAGGCCTCACTTGACTCCACAATAAGAACACAGAAAGTGTCATCCATGGGAGAGTTGCAGGACACAAACCACAGCCTTAGCAAAAAGAACACAAAGCCCGCCCCACATTTGCCAACAAACATCTAGATGACCATCAAGACTTTTGGGATAATATTCTGTGGACTAATGAGTCAAAGGTGGACATTTTTGGAAGCCATGGGTCTCATTACATCTGGTGAAAAGCTAACACTGCATTCCACCATAAGGACTTCATATCAGCAGTCGAACATGGCGGTGGTAGTGTGATGGCCTGCTTCAGCAGGACCTCAGTGACTCGTCATAATTGATGGAACCATGGATTTTGCTATGAGGAAAATAAAAAAGCAAAATGCTTGCCCATCAGTATGTGACCTTAAGCTCAGGCACAGTTGGTCTTTGCATGGTCTTTATAAGGTGTAGTCTTGCATTTTTTAATTGGGTGAGGAGCACATTTTTTTTTCAGAGCGCTGTACATATTTGTGAATATCACATTGTTACAAATATTTGTAGTAGTAGTAGTGTTGAAGTACTTGACACATTTCCCATTGTTTTGGACTTTAATAAAATGTAATTTAATACACTTCCTTCTTTATGTTAAAGCTGCAAGTATAAAGAAAAATTCTAATTCTGCATATAATCTTAAAATCAGATACTTATGAGTATAAATGTAAATCCTTTGATTTACATTAAACACCAGAAATTCTCCTTTTTTAGTACAGTTTCTTTGCAACTAAATGTTATTTTTTACATTTAGATACAAATACAGACAGAAATTCCATTTTTTTTTACAAAAAACAGAATTTTATTAAGAGCAGCTAGAAAAAAAACAAAGAAAACCTCGCTCTCTTAATGTTTAAAACATCACTGACTTGGTTGATAAAATAAGTTTTTTTTTTTGGAAAATAAAACTAAGAGCACCATATAAAAGCATGCAATTTAGTTGGACTTTCTTAGAAAGTACTGCTAAACTAAATAATATTTAGGAATCCAAACAAGTTTTTAACCATTGAAAAAAACCAACAACATATCAAAAGCTTGCCAAAGCAGCCATTTTTATAACTTATTTTTCATGAAGTGATCTAGGCTGTCAAAAACATTTATTATACATAAGTAAATATCTACATACTGAACTGAATGGCTCATATCATGCCAGTTTAGCTCACTACCAGTCATTATCTTACATTTATGTTGCATTAAATAATATTCTAAATTACAGAGGAGATTTTAAACTGATGGAAATTTTTAACCATAAAAAAATCCATAATCAAGCAAAATTTTGAACAGATATATCGGTACTGACATAAAATGGACAGCACAGCTGCACTTTTCTTCATATTAAACAATCCTGCTTGATTGATTACTTACAAAGATGAAAATCAATCTTCTGGTGTTGTAAATCATAAACATTAGCATCACATAATCTATTCCATCAATGCTACTGAAGGAAGAAAACACTGAGAGACCAACAAAACAGGCAGACAATACAGCTACTGTGAATTGCAGTTAATTACATTAAGTAGACAAGATATACAAATGAAAATCTCTATTTTTGTTACAGTTGTGGAGTTCATGACTGCTTTCATGTTACAAATATACACAATGTACTGACCAATGGAGATCAGGTGGGCAGACCAGTTTGATTTCCCATTGGCTAAATAGGCTGAACTTGAGGTGTGTTCAACAAACACTTCACTTCATTCAGACACTGCAGAGTACAATAGCTCTACATGATTCCCATGTAAATATAGATTTTTCAGGTCAGAGCTGTTTCATCTAGACTTTCACTCCTGGAATGTGGTTCCAGTGAGTTCCAGCACATATCCAACCATGCCTATACCATTTTGGTCAAATCTAGTAAGTTTTAAATTCAGTTTCTTTAATTAAAATTTACTTAAGATAATCTAAAAGTCAGCTATCATGCTGAAACTATTCAAATACTACAAAATATGAGAATACTCAAAGAAATATGCAAATAACAATATAGACATTTTTTTGCCATGTTTGAGTCATTTCCAGACATAAAACAAACTGAAAAATATCCTAGAGGTGCAGATATGAATCCTTTGATACAGAATGTAAATTGAATAGAAATGTAATTCATTACAAAACTATAATAACAAAGTAATTACTGTAGAATTGTGAGCTTTAGTCCTGTTTTCCCTATTTAAACTGACAAAGAAATCTTGACTGGAAGCACTTAAAGACTAGTTAAAGTTGATCTTGAAGAGGATTAGGTGTTTTTGGGTCTTGATCTTTACTTGGTTGTCTTCAAATTTGGACTTATTCTTGACTTGGTCTTTGCATGGTCTTGATAAGGTGTAGTCTTGCATTGATTTTATCACACAAACCACATTAACCTGTCTTCATTTCCACTATAAACACTAAAAAAGTAAATAAAAAGTTAGTCAGTGAATGTGAATCCTACCTGTGCGCTTGTTCTTCAGTTTCCACTCTTCATGCACTTCGGTTTGCTTCTCTTCACCATATGAGTTCATACACTGTCATCTCTGTACATCTCTTTCAACTTTAACCCCTCCCATCTGTGTCATGTGACTGATGTTATCTGAACCACACTACAGGTTACAGTTTCAGTGACTGTGGGGCCATAACATGCTTTGCATGAATGTCTGTCAACACATAGTCAAAGACAGAGACCTTTTTGTTTTTAACTTTAATCAAAGATTCTATAGATATGTAGTCATGCAAAGTGTGTTGTGGCCCCGTAGGCACTGAAACTGTGACCAGTAGTGTGGTTCAGATAACATCATTTTCTTTTTAGTCTTTGCCATAAAACCTGAAACATCCATTACATACAACACGCAAACTTGGAAGCCGCTGTTTTCAACTATTATTAACAACCAAATGCTGATCATTTGGACTCTAAATCATTCAGTCTTTTTGTTCACACTTTATTTTGAAGGTCCTCTATAGACGATAAATTACTAGCAATCTGTCTAGTGACAGCTGATTATCAGCATCATAATGGTTAGTGTTACATGTAGGTGTAGGTGTAGGCTGAAGTTGAGTTAGGTTTGGGTTTATGGTTAACGTAGCATTTAATGTTGTAGAGAGCGTCATGTTGCGGTAGGAGAAAGTTGTAGGTAGTTGCGGTAGTTGTGGTTCTGTCAGTGTTGTTAGCACAAACATGTTGTTTTTGTTATCCTGTTCTGGGCTGAGGGGCAGTTGATGTGTTCTTTACATTAACCATATGTGCACATTGTATGGTGAAATGTGACCTGCCCCACTGTCCCGGTCATTTAGATGAGCAGCAGGTCTCCCATGCTGCAGGGTACATAAAAAGAGCACTCGTTTGAACCACTATGTATTCCCGCATCTTTCTCTTCTCTGCAAGTGCTACAATTGTGGTCAGGAATGAGATAGCACCCACAGCAGTGTGAGGAGAAATGGCACTTCAAGAACTTTCCAGGCGAGAGTTGAGAGAAACGTAGCAAGTCTGGAGGCAAAGGAGCTGGCGTGAGGAGGCTCAACAGCAAGGTTGACATGGCGAGGCTGAAGGACAGAGCTGCTGAGGGAAGGCCCAAAGATGAGGTAGAGTGTGGTGTAGACGACAGTTGGCATGTTTCTACTGTAAACGGCTGTGCCCACAAGCACTGGGAGCACAAACAGGCAAGTTACATCTTACCATACAATGTCCGCACATGGGGACTGCAAAGAACACACCAACTGCCCAGCACAGAATAGCACAAGCAACATGTCTGTGTTAATAAGACTCACACAACCCATGCACCCATAAGGCCCTGCGCGATGCTGCTCTGCATGGCCACGCCTCCTGTGTGTCCACAGCCAGTAGTGGGTCACTATAATATAATCTATCATACTACAAGCTTAGTTGCATTTAGTACATATTTAGTTTAATGCTACTTAAAGACAAGCTGAGCGTCTACAAAGCATCTATAGTGGACCTTCAAAATAAAGCAATACTATTAAGTTTGTGGTGCAAATTGCCTTCTTAAATCCCTGTTTAGGACTGTTTTGCCATCTTATTAGTGATCATATGAATATGGAACACATCTAAAATTATTAGTCATGTATTCAACTCATTAGTTTTAAAGCAGCAATACTCTAACAGAGCACACTTGATGAAACTGAGGGCCTACAGGAATGAAATGCTGCCAATTCTGCCTTAAAAAGATTTTAAAAAAGTGGTTATTCATGGTCAGTAATTCGCACAACAATGTATTACCAAAATGTATACTGTGTGTTGTTATGACTAATAATGCAATTATAACTTATTTTCACCAAACACCAAACCTCCAATTATGTAATAATACAGGTCAAAATGAACATAACCTAATGCACAGTGAATGAACAACTTACAAATCAGGCTTTACTGAACAAATAACAAGACTATAATAAGCAAGACCTAACCCTAACCCCAATATGTGTTCCTTAAAATATACTTTGAGGGACAGAAGCATAGAGGACATGTGCATGTGAATATTTAAATGAAGACTTGCACTGAAATGAGCTTTTTACCTTTATTTTAACTACAGAAATAACTGGTCAATTACAACTCCTTATGATCACATATTAAAATACCCAAACAGATATATAGAAAAAGATATGCTTTTACATGCAACATCATAGGAAGATTTTTATGCGTAAGGAATACATACAGTTCATGCTAAATATATATTTACCAAAGATTGATGCTCAAATTTTATTGCATTCTGATTGTGGTTCAGGAATAAGGCCCACTATAAATTGTATGGATGAAAAAAGGTGAAATCTACACAGCAAACAAACAGAACCACATTAAAAATTCATTAATGTAAGTACAGGAATCAAGCCATTAAATTATTATTATATTATTACTTCAACCTCAAATGAGAGTCTAGGGTAATCCAAGTCATCAATCCAAAACAGGAAGAGAGGAAACACACTCATGCTAAGGATGCTTCAATCAGAAGGGATCAAACAAGACTCAAATTATTTTAAATCAGAACTCAGAAACTCAGAAACTTTGAAGCAAGAATGTAAAGAAAGCCTAAAGTGAGCAAATATATATGAATATTTTTATATATATATATATATATATATATATATATATATATATATATAATGTATGTGTATCTATAAAAGGGCGTTAAACTTTAAATCTGACAGCATCAAAACCTGAGCATATGAAAGTAAAACCGCTGCCTTGCTTTGTCAAGAAGACGAGCTGGACCTTCTTCAGTAGTGTAGGTTGGGTCCATGCTGTGGGTGTATACTGCGTTGTGCTTCGTTGCAGCAGCGGGGCAGGCAGATGTTTGAAGAGGCCTCAGTCAGTGACCAGGTGGTTTATATTTCATGGTGGCTCAGGGAGGAGAGCTTCACCCCTCCCAAGATGGTGGGTTTGCACTGGACAACTAGTTCATGAGTGGGTAAGGTGGCAGGACGTGTGGCAGCACTGCAGATGCACTTCCAAAGTTTTTGGGACCAGCTGGACTTTTCAGACTCACAGATCATAGTTCTGGGTATGCTCAGATTTTGAGGTTTCATCCGTTTTTTGACAGGAAAGGTGAAGTAATTGATCATTGGCGATGTGACAGACTTTTTCAACTTTATCTCTAAAATGGCTTTGGATGTGATAGTGAATGTTCTACATACTCTGGTCTATAGCGGTACTAATGGTCCTTTCTTTCTGGTTGTATCTTTGGACTCCATTAAAAATCCATTGAGATCAGATTTTGTTTTGCCTGTAAGCCATCCCCTCTTGAGATGGAGCCAGAGTACTGATTGGTTCTTTTCACATAAGGGTGATTAGCTGTTTGCCAATTCTAATTGGTAGTACACAGTCTATGAGCCCATCTTGAATTAAACCTTTCTTTGTTTTGGCCAGATCTGATTTGCATTGACTGGATAAAAATATTTTAAGTACCGTAATAGTTTGAAGCATTACCTTTAAATCGGTAAAACTAAGGAAACAAACAAAAAGAACATTTGTTTATGTTTTGTGACAGATGGTTTGAACCCATGGTATCTGGAACCAACACACATACTAAAACACAAGCATGTACCTTATTGTAGTATCTAGGTGTTGTTGGTTACATGTAACTCAACCACAATACAATTGTTAACTAAGAGAACAAAAGGAACCACAAATGAAAGAAAATATGTATTCAGGTTACATACTTATTAGATCTCTAAGGTTTCCTACAAGAAAATGATTATATGGTTAAGATTAACAAGGTGATACTCATTCAGTACTCCTACCACCAACTGATATAAGGGACACAAGTTTAAGGAATTAACTAAGTACCATAAAAGTAATATTCTTTACAAACAATAGGAAGTTGTAAACATCAGGCAGACATGTAAAATAAGAGTTCTGAGGAATGGCTTCATGACGGTGTGGCATGTTTTATTCCTTCCACGTGCTGGAGCTTTAGATCCATGTTTGGAATATCAATTCAATTGTATAATCAATAGATTCATAATAAATCACACAACTTTGTAGTATGTTCAGTCTTCTGGTGATGAACAAGGATGAGTGATCAACATTTGGACTGGATATAAGTCATGTATTTCTTCGTTGTATTAGTGATTGGAGACAGGCCCCACAGCAGGTCCGGGACTGGTACTTACACGAGCTGCAGAGTGTTATTAATCCAGTTTTATGGCACTAACCCAGACTCTTTGGAGCCAAAATTATTAGCTTTCTGGTCAACAAACTGGGTTTTCAGATGAATCAAGGTGGTGTCCACTACATGTATACCAATAAAACTCTCACTACTAAGGAAAAGATATAAAGGGTCCAAAACTGTAGATCTGCTGATGCTGGGTACAGAAGAGGGAGCAAACCTGGTTTCAATCTTCATTTATAGATAGAGAAAGAAAAAAAAAAAAAAGGTTTACAAATGCATCTACATCAATATTCCAGTAACAAACATACACAGTAACTAACCTTCATAGGTGGTGCAGATGAAGTTGAGTTCCTGGTCCTCAGGCAGGCTGACCCACTGCTGACCTCCTCTAGACTGAACTGCTCCGGTTCTCTCTACAGAGCTGCAGTTTTCTCCTTCTGTCCCGTTACCTGGAGCCCAGTTCTGGTAGCAGATAGACTCTCCATCCACCCAGAACCAGAAGCTGAGGGTGCAGGTGTGACGCAGACCCAGCCACACATGTTCAGTGGAGGCTTTCTGTGCCACCTCCTTCACCCAGAGCTGGATCTCCTCAGAGTGAACTGAGACCAGATCCACATGATTCACCCTGCAGTATCTCAGAGCTTCTCTCCAGGTCAGATTCTGATTGATCAAGATCAGCTTATCTGGGTACAGAAAGGAAAAAATCAACAGGGATCAACAAACCCTTTTTGTTTCTGCTAATAAGATATTTCCATAATATATTTTGGGCGGCACGGTGGCGCAGTGGGTAGCGCTGTCGCCTCACAGCAAGAATGGCCTAGGTTCGATTCCCGGCCGGGCGACCAGGGTCATTTCTGTGTGGAGTTTGCATGTTCTCCCCGTGTCTGCGTGGGTTTCCTCCGGGTACTCCGGTTTCCTCCCACAGTCCAAAAACATGCAGTCAGGCTGATTGGACACGCTAAATTGCCCATAGGTGTGAGTGTGTGTGTGAATGTCTATGTCTGTCTGTCTGCCCTGCGATGGACTGGCGACCTGTCCAGGGTGTATCCTGCCTTCCGCCCCATGACAGCTGGGATAGGCTCCAGCACCCCACCGTGACCCAGAAGGACAAGCGGTTTAGATGATGGATGGAAGGATGGAAAATATATTTTGGTAACACTCCATAATACAGTTTCTGGTAACTTTGTTGTAATGGAGTTGTTTGTTATCCAAGTAGTTAACATCAGAAAAAAGTATTTTTACAGAATGCATGGAAAGATAAACAAATATAGCAGCAAACAAAGGCAAAAGATTAACAAACAGGGCAAATTTGGTGAATATTAAATATTAAATTTGGCAAATATGTGTTAAGCTGCTTCACAAGACAATAAAATTAATTCATCTAGTAGTTACTGTGAAATACATTTAAAGGTCAAATTTAGCAGATGAACAGAAGTAATGCTAATCATAAACAATCCTGAATCCTTCATGGTTACTGTTTATTTATCAAGCAGCATAACACATATGGCTCTTAATATCTACCATGTTTGTTGAAGATTAGCATGTATTTAATGTGTTTTAAAACTGTTAATAATATTGTATTTTAGTATTGACATGAATTTGATATAGTGATGTTGTGTTTGTAAGCTATATGGCCTCATTGGGATACTCATCAAACTAAATTTGATTGTTACTCACAGTAATGGATATTTGGAAACTGAAATATAGGATGGAAAAGTTCACACTTAACACCTAAATGTTTCCTTTTTTCTCATCACATTCCTTTATTGCTAATATCTTGACACTGGCTGCACTCTACTGGATATTTGGTAGAAGCCTCTGTGGATAATATCCGCCAAACAACAAGAAACAGCAAAAGCTATACATATTTATATATGAATTCATTTTATTCACTAATCACTGGCTTTACTGTTTCTTTGCATTGTGGATCTTAGTCAAAATTCATGTTAAAAATAAGTTATAGCAATGCGAACTGTTAATGAGGCATAACTTCTTATTCAAGAAAAAGTTTGAATTAAAATCAGATTAGTGCCTTGTTAGAAAATGCATGGTGTAGTTGTAAATACTGGATGCAAAAATGCAATATTTTCTAAGCTTCACAGAAATGTAATTAACTACATAAAACTACATAAACTACACCTATACTGTTTGTAAGTATGTTACGTAAGAATGTAAAAACAAGACATAAAATATTGAGGAGTTTTGTAGGACAGTGCTAGTATTTAAAATTTACTTAATTAATACTTAATACCCAGTTAAAATTTCAGGTCTGTTCAGTCATTCTGTAATGAGCTAAAAAATACTCTGAAATATTGCTTAGATTCAAGAACTGTAAGTGATTGTTTGTGCTAACGATGATAGATTTGGGGTTTTAAGTTTGAATACCAGTGTTTCAGGATCATATCCAAACTAGACACAACTCTGAATAACCTTTGTATAATTACGTATAGTTTGACAAACAACATTCTGAGTTTATCTGAAGGTTTTACAGTAAACAATAGCAAATATAGTTGAAATGGTAAATAAACCAATCTGAATAAATGACCACATTGTTGAATAAGTGAAATATTACTCACTCTCATGGCAGATGAAAGGGTTCTTTGTTTCGCAGTCCAAATCATGCCATTCACCCTGGTCAGTCATAGACACTGCAGCACATTCCTTAATTCCAACCACATTGTCTGGCTGGTCAGACCTCCAGTATCTGAATGAGGAGGTACTCTGATCTGACCACTTCCAGGAGTCGTTGAACAGGCCGATCCAAACACAGATACTAATTGAATATTTTGCCAAATTATGGATCTGCTGGTTCTCAGTCTGGTTCCTCACACTGGCCAGGTCTGTGTAATGTTCTCTGCAGTAGCTCTGAGCGTCACGCCAGCTCTTTGTTTCATTAATTAATATGTATCTATCACTGTTCATCTTTTTTCCTGAAAGAGATACAAATGAATTTACTAATTAATTGATTCAAATATTAATGATTATGTATGTTACAGCTTACGTAACCCAAACAAGAAAACTGGACACAATAATGATCAGAAATCAGTATTTTTTTTTTTTTAGGCCCAATTAATAAACTGATAATGTCATCTATTAACATGGATATGGATGTTCTTACTGTCATAACACACAAAAGTATATCGTTTATCACAGCTTTCATCAGTCCAGGTTCCAGTGTCGTTCTTCATTGCAACACAGTATTGATTTCGCCCAGCATTGTTTGGCTCTCCACTGTTCCAGTTTCTGTACGTGTCTCCCTCCCTGTAGAAACTTTCATCTGCTAGAGACCACAGCCATTTCCTAGTGTTCCCTCTGTCTAGACCGATCCAAACAAATCCACTAGCTTTCTCATTCAGAGTAGCATTCAGCTTCTTCATCTCATCCATGTTGTTGATGGTGGCCAGATCAGTGTAGTTCTGTCTGCAGTAGCTCTGAGCTTCAGTCCAGGTTTTATTCTCATTCACAATGTGATACCGATGAGGAACGTATGCAGATACACCACAGACAGCTGTGAAGAACATGAGAAAGAGGCTCATTATCAGGTGATGATAAACTGGAGCGGAACACAAACAGCAAATAAGATGCTCACTGCAGAGAACCACATATAGTACTGTGGAAAAGAGAAAATTTAATTTAACTGGCCAGTACTGGTTTACTTGCTGTACATACATATTAGAATATATAAAGATAATGTTAATAAAACAAGTAGTTATTTTATATGCATTAATGTATTCATTCAACTATTTCCAAACCTTCATTCATGGCAGTCTAGTGTTATTTGTACTTATGATCCAATATCTGTTTTGGAAAATCAGTCCTTTATTAAATTAATTAACTGCGCTTGTGATTAATTTGAACACATTTTTGTAACGGCTTCAAGGAACTGAACGTCCAGAACTGAACTAATAAAATGTCAAATATTGTTTTTGAAAATCTTTCACTTTTTACCGTATTCATGTTCAGCTGAAATAAAATAGTTTCAAGCAGTTTCCCAGGTTAATACTCTTTCACAGTACTGTTTAAGAATCATAAAATAAGAAGACTCCCAAAAACACTTGAATTGAACTGGATTCTTGCTTAAACACACAGGCACATAAACGCACACTGACCTGAGATGAGAAAGAGGACAAAAATCCATTTCAGATCCATTTCTGAAAGAAGAAGAGAAGATAAATATTTGTACATATTTGTGAAAAACACATTTTTAACCAATAACACAATATTTGTAGCAGTGGTAGTGCTGAAGTGCTTGAGTCTTGTCTCTGTTTTGTTTAACCTTGGACTTGATACTATTTACACTTAGACTTGTCTTGGCCTCCTTCATTAGTCTCACCATATTTAGACCCAATACTATTTCACCCCTCACCCCTACCACTTACCCTTACCCTCACCCCTCTGTTTTGCACATTCACGTCTAGGGGTAGGGTGTCCCGATTTTTTTTTTTGAGATAGAGAGATAGGGTTAAGTGTTAGGGCTGCATGTCCCTCCAAACTGAGGCTTTTCAGAGGCACACCCCAAACAGAGTTTTATGAGAATAACTGGCAAGATGGCTGAACAAGAGACCAAAGAAACCCACAAATGTAAATATTTTCTCCGTTAAAAAATTACGATAACCACTATATTATCTTAGTTTTATGTTGTTTCAATGTATTATGGTCCTTTTCTTCATTACAAACATAAAAAAAAATCCCTAGTACTATGCTGATGTCTCTGTAGAACTAAATTTCCTGTTCCACCTTCAAGATAAAATGGGAAAATCTGAACAATAAGCTGGCAAATATCTGACTTCAGCTTCATACCGCTGATGAATTATGGGTGGGCAATAACAAATAACTGTCCAACCCCCCTCTGTCAAGGCATATGATTCCCTAACTTTAACTAAAGCTGAGCAGTGGGGTTGCTGAACTTTACCCTCCTCTGCTGTCATTGCATGCTGGCAGGTTCGCCTACAGAGCAGTGCAAGTAGCCTGTTAATGAAATAATGATCCCTTTCATTTGATCGTCCCATTTCATAGGGAAGATATCAACCATTACCCCTTGTAACTCAATTCCAAGGGGCAAGGTGACACTCAAAAACAAGAGCAAGGGGTAAAAATAAGAAATGGGTTTGGGCTTTAGTCTCTATTCTCGACTGACCAACTACTGAAAAAAAAACTACTAAACTTTATTCTGACTGTCACCAGTGCATGCTAACTCAAGGCTTCTCAAAAACCAAACCATAGCATCTAGAGATCTAATTTTTCTTTTCCTGTCCTGATATTTAAACCTTGAGTATCAGCTGATATGGGGATGGGGAGGAGGGAGGTGGAGTGTGATTTTACTGGGAAACCCTAGTTTCTTTTTATCGTTTAGTTGTTTGTCAATTTGGAAGATGTTCTAGCATCCCTGTCTCTAGTGTACTGTGAATAGTGGTCTATTACACTGAGTAGAGGAGATATCCAAATGAGCATCACTACCTTTATGACAGTTGAGTTGAGTACACAGCATACTGACAGTTGGAGACAGCAGCAGCTTGATTTACCATTGGCTGAATGAGCTGTAAACTGTACAGCAGGCTGAGTGTGTTTATTAGACATGTACACCCACAGAGTACAATGACTATACACTACAAAACTCTCTCTCTCTCTCTCTCTCTCTCTCTCTCTCTATATATATATATATATATATATATATACATATATAAGTTGTTCCATCTAGACTTTTACTCCTGGAATGGTGTTCCAGCTCTTATGCATCCTTTCCGATATAAATATCCATCCAATACTTTGTTTATAAAAGAAAATGACAAAGTTTTAAAATTAGGTATTTTCTTTGATTAATCAATCTACAAGTAGGCTATCATACTGAAACTACTCAAACACACTATTAACCCAAATGAAGAAACAATATTACATTACACAAGATAGATTTGTAGATATCGATCTGATCCCTTTACCTGGTACCAGATCGTTGCCATCTGTAACTGTGTTTGATTTAACCACTGGTTGGGTGCAGTCAGAGTGAAACATCAAGAACACAAGTGAGAAAACTTCCCTACATCTGGGTTTCCCCCTCCCTTCATCTTCTCCACACTCTACAATTTGCATGATTGTCTAGGCACTCACACCACGGCCAATCATTGACAGCTTCCTAGACCTACGTCACCTGACTACTGGACTGTTTACACCTGTTACTTGTTACATGCATCTGTATGAATACCTGTTTGTTTGTCAAACTCATAGCGAAGTATTGCCAACCTTACCTGTTCCATACCAAGCATTCATTTTCCTGTTTGTACTCTCCATGTTTATGACCTTTTTCTTCATCCTTGTTTCTGGTTTCTAGACTCCTCTTTTTGGTTTTTCTGGTTTCTAGACTCCTCCTGTTGTATCACACTGTTTGTTGTACTGGCTTTGACTCATGCATGTTTCCGACCTACTCTCTTCATTGAAAGGCAATGTATGTCATTTTGTTGTTCCTTGTTCTGGTCTGGCCTGGCTTTTGTTAACTCGTTGCTTGTTAAAAATACGTTTCAAACTTTTACATCTATGAGTGTCTGGTTAGACTAAACATTACAAGAATAGAGGAAACAAGATATTTCTACTATAATTTGAATTTGAATGAATATATTATTGGACCTACAGTTCAGTTTTGAGAAATAAATAAAAAAAAAAAAGTTCCTGATATTGAAACAAATTGAGAAAAAAATCAGAAGTATTACATGAGTCCATGAATACAGAATGTAAATTGAATAGAAATGTATTGCATCACATAGCTGTAATAACAATGTAATAACTGTAGAATTCTATGCTTTATTCCTCTCAACCCAAGTGAATCTGTGAGACTAATACATTTTGATGGGAAACATTTAAAGACTAGGATTAGGTGTTTGTGGTTCTCGATCTTGACTTGATCTTCAAAGTTGGGCTTATTCTTGACTTGGGTCTTGGCTTCCTTTAGGACTTGGACTTATTTAGAATTGACAAATGTGATCCATACTACAGCCTCAGTATGTAAACTGTAAAACATAATACTTGCACTACTTAATGTTTTGGTTTACATATTGGTTGAAATCACTAATAAACAACTACCAACACAACATTTCTTGTATTGTCCTTAATTACTGAGGTAAATCTAGTTAAGATCAGTTCATTTGGATATGTCCTACAGACTGAAGGGTCTTGTGTGCAGAAAGCTTCCCAACATCCTTGGTGGTTTTGTTGGTTAAATTATAAATGTAATATAATATTATATATATAATAATAATTTTTGCAAAAAGCATAATTTTGTGTCAGAGCATACTTTCACAAATATGACGTTTAGATGCATTTAATAAGTTTTGTAATTATTACCATGACCAACACTAACAGAATGGCAAATATGCATTTAGGGTTTAGAGTCTTCAGAAATGGGTGATACTAATCTTAGTCCATTACTCCATTTAATAAAATAGAGTTGCTTTAATTGATGCCAGTTCATTACACAAAGGAAGAATATTTGATTCAAGTTAACCTAACTAGTTTAAGTACAGCCAGCTCAAAGGAAACCATTTATAGTGACTGGGCTGTTTGAGTTCACCTTACTTGGTGTAATTAGACAGTGACTGTAGCTCACATATAAAGTAAAGACAGCTAATTTGAGTTTACAGTATAATAATATTTATATGTACACAAATATCACATTAATACTTAAACACCAAAAAAGAAAAAAAGGCTGGAAAACCTTTTTTTCACTGAATTAATTTTAACTCAGTGAATGTAAATCCTACCTGAATTTCTTCGTTTTCCACTCTTCTTGCTCTTCGGTTCGCTTCTCTTCACTTTATAACTCTGTATGTCTGTCCACTTAGTATATACCTGTTCACTTTAACCCCTCCCATGTGTGTCATCTGCAGTCCTACTAACAGATGTTTTTTGTGTAGTTTCAGTGCCAAAGGGGCCGTAACACACTTTGCGTTGAGTTCTGCCAACATGTGGTCAAAGACAGTAACCTTTTGTTTTAAACGTTAATTCCTGATCATACATCATTAACCAAGAGGGATCTGTTGGCCCCCACCACTGATGTACAGGACATAAAACACAAGCTGTCGTCTTGCAAACGGAAATACCAGTGACATGCTAGTTTAGGGAAAGTCCCCATATTTTGCATATATTTACACGCAGTGGGTACAAAGAGGCATCTATGAGGTCATTTGCAAGTATGATAAGCTGAAGTCTACTGATCAGTATTTTTAAAATGAGGTGGATGGTGAACAACATTCACTGCAGGATCTGGTCAAAATAAAACAATTTCACTAATTTAATGATTTTATATATATATATATATATATATATATATATATATATATATATATATATATATATATATATTCAACCATTTTTAACATCCAATTGCTGATCAATTGGACTCTTATAGGAAACACATACTGGTATATCATTAAAGTATTTAGTCTTTTGGTCATGCTTTATTTTGCTTGGTCCTCTATAGATAATCTACAGATATGTGAATTATTAAGAAACTTTCTAGTGATACTTAATAGTTTTTTAACAACAGTATGGTTAGGTTTAGAAGTTAGGTTTGGAAAACATGTCAGTTTTGTGTTGAAGCTGAGGTTAGTGTTAGGTTTAGGGTTTGGGTAGATTCAGTAAAATCTTTCATACACAACTTCCAGTTCAGTTGCATTTAATAGATATTTAATTCAATGCTACTTAAAGAAAGGCTGAACGTCTACAAATCATCCACAGTAGACCTGCAAAATGAAGTGGTACTAGTATATTCGTGCTGCACATTGACTTGAAACCCTGTCTAACCCTCATCTAATTAGAATCTGGGTATATAATATATTTTAAATTATACAAGACATATTTAATTATTAGTGACTATTTCAACTTTTATTAGATTTAAATCAGCAATAAATTCCAATAGAAGAAAAACTGTGTTACCTAGACCCTGTGGAAATCAAATGTCAATTCTATTCTAATGAGATGTGGATTTAGGTAGTTATTCCTGCCCAGTGATTTGCATAACAAGATATTAATAAAGCATTTATTGATACACTTCCACTTTTTTATTAATACAGTTCAGAATGAATAAAGCATAATGCACAGCGAATACACCATTTACAGGAGTCTGAATCAGGCTTTATTGACAAATCAAGACACTGAGATGTCACCAATGTATATTATTTTTTAAATAAACTGATAACCTTTCCCTACATGGAGAGAGGAAAGCAAACAGTACATGTGTGTGTAAATACATAAATGATAAAGATAAGCTTGTAAAGACTTCAAATGAAATGCATTTTTTACTTTTGTTTTAGAATAAAATAATAAAAATAAGACAATTACACTTGAAATTCCTTATGACTACATATGAAGATACACAAACTGGCATACAGAATGGTAAATATTATTTTATGAACAATCAATGCTTACATTTTATTGCATTCTAAATGTGGTTCAGAAATGAGGCCCACTGTAACTTAAATAGATGAAAAAAGGTTGAACCTGTACACCAAACACACAGGACTATATTAAACATTCATATTAGTAGACCAGTGTAACTCTCACTATCAAGGAAAGCAAATAAAATGTATAAAACTGTAGATCTGCTGATGATGGTTATGGAAGAGGAATGCCCTGGTTTCAGTCTTCATTGTTGGGAAGAGAAAGACAAAAAAGAAAGTTTACAACTGCAAAGTACAGCAGAATTCCAGTAACATGAATAGCAACTAACCTTCATAGGTGGTGCAGATGAAGTTGAGTTTCTGGTCTTCAGGCAGGCTGACCCACTGCTGACCTCCTCTAGACTGCACTGCTCCAGTTCTCTCTACAGAGCTGCAGTCTTCTCCTACTGTCCCGTTACCTGGAGTCCAGTTCTCATAGCAGATGGAAAAGCCACTCACCCAGTACCAGAAACCCTGAGTGCAGGTGTGACGCAGACCCAGCCACACATGTTCAGTGGAGGCTTTCTGTGCCACCTCCTTCACCCAGAGCTGGATCTCCTCAGAGTGAACTGAGACCAGATCCACATGATGATCTCTGCAGTATCTCAGAGCTTCTCTCCAGGTCAGATTCTGATTGATCAAGATCAGCTTATCTGGAGATCGAAAAAGGTCAGTTGATAATTTAGACACTGAAGGCCACATTCTAAGTTGGCTCATGAGTTCAAAAGTACACCAGGATACAAAAATCCTTTGTACACTCGTAAAAATAAAGCAGTGATGGAGACACATGTCCCTGTCCTTCATAGGGACATCCATTACCAATTCAGAACCCTTTAGGTCTCTCAACATCTACCATGTTTGTTGACGATTTGGCAGATGGTGTTAGAATTTTAGACACAAGCTATGGGGGAAGGGGGAAACCTGTTAGACCATGTCACCAACATGGTGGCCATCTTGAATGCCACCATCTTGTATTCAAATTCAGTTTTACAAATGGAAAGGTAGGAGTTTGACACATCAAACAGGTAGAGAATTCCACCAGAAAACAATGGTGTGCTTTTGTGTCAACATAATTTTATTCATTTTCTTGTTAAAAGTTGCCAAAATTCTTGCCAAATTCTAAGAAACAGGCTCTGTTGCCAATAAACCGAAAGTTGGACGACCAAAAAACGCTATGGATGTAGCAACAGCAACTGCTGTTCTGGCCTCATTCAGCAAGAGCCCACACCATAGCACCCATCATCTGTGTCTGGAATGTGGGGTTAGCCATGCCTCAATTCAACTAATTTTGTCTAACCATAAATGGCACCCTTACAAAATTCAGATGCTGCAACACCTGACCGAGGATGACCCAGACCATCAGATAGAATTTGCAGAATGGGTGACACAGCAACTTCACACAAGCCCTCATTTTCCCTATTAGCTGCTGCTCAATGACGAAGCAAATTTCTTTGTGAATGGTGAGGTCAACAACCAGAAGTACTGATACTGGTCGGAAACAAACCCTCATTGAACAGGTTTGCCTCATCTGAAGTCTTGATGTGTAGTTTCCCCAAAAGTGGATTGGTCATAGGGGTCCATTCGAGCGGCCATCATATTCTCCTGATTTAACCCCTTTAGATTTGGATCTGTGTGTTTTCACATAAAATCATGGTTTTAATCTGAGAACAAATAAAGTTATGTTGACATGAAGTACATCACTGATTTTGTATTGAGATTCTCTACCAGGTTGATGTGTCACACACCTACCTTCCCATTTGTAAAACTAAAGTTGGATCCAAGATGGTGGCATTTAAGATGTGTTGTTTATTAAGTAGCGATGATGTGAAGATGATGAAGGAGACTCCGCTGACACTGTTTTCCTTGTAAGATGTTTATTACAAAGTAAAACAGTATCAAATCAAGCACTATAAAGTACCTGAGAGAGGATCCGTGCCAATTCTAAGTGTCCCCTCCAGACCACTATAGCCAACAGCTTATATATTGGACTTGTTGTTGAAACAGAAGACAGAACATAGGGTTCTTTTTAAAATTACCTCATCTATTTGGAACTAAGAGAGGGAGAGAACTACTGCCTCTGGGGCCTCTGGACCAGGGGGCCCCCTTGATTTAAACATTCCAAACCCCTGCAAAAAAGGACCACATGGAACTTCAGACCTCAGCTTATACTGGAAGTTTAAGAGTGTTTTTGCCTTCTTTTATAAAGTTATTAATATACCTCAGATGGCTGCCACATTGGTGACCTAACAGGTTTCCCCCTTCCTTCACAGTTTGTGTCTAAAATTGGATCACCATTTGCCAATCCATTTTCATTTTATATGGGTGTTTCACTATTTTTGGGACACCCTGTATATTACTCCAGTTAATTATAAAAATATTGATTGTTTTAATATTGACAGATATAACACTAGATACAGTGACATAATATGAGTAGCCGTAAGACTACTTGGTTCACCAAGTTCAATTACATCCTGGATGTTCAAGTAAATGTTTAAGTACATTTTAATGTTTGAAAGCTGTACGGCCTCCTGACTTTGGTCCCTGACTTGTCAAACTAGATCTGCACTCCTGTTTATCTCTTAAATGAGTCTTTTGTGAGTTGTGAATTGCACGGTGTTTTCTTTTCTTATCCCCTTTCTTTACTGCTAACACCTTAATACTGTTTGCACTGGACAGGATATTTGGTAGATGCCTCTGTGTATAATATCCCCCAAACAACAACAAAAATACAGACTTTCTGGAATATTCTAAAGCATTAAGTGCAAATCCTTTTTTTTTCAAATTACTGTTTGTACTGTTTCTTTATATTGAGTCTTAGTCAAATGTCATGTTTAAGAAACTAAACCATGAATTAGTCATAGCACTGCCAACACTCATGTTAACAAGACAAAATTGTTTTTAATCAGGAAAAAGCATGATGGAAAAAGATTAATGAGAACATCCATTGTGTACACACTTACAAACTGTGGTTCTTTAAGGGTTGTTTAGTAAAGAAAATGGTTCTATATAGAACCATGAACACTCAAAGAACTCTTTACATGATTAAAGGGTTCTTTGCATTGGTTTGCATTGCATTCTTTGTCCTTGCATTGGTGGTTTAGTGGTATAATTCTGCGACGCGGGACACCCAGTCTGATTCCTGGCCAATTCAACCACACAGAGCTTTGGGGGGCAGTCATGTGCTGGAGGTTAGGTAACCAGCCTTGTGACCGGAAGGTTGCCAGTTTGATCCCCAGAGCCGAGAGTATGTGACTGAAGTGCCCTTGAGCAAGGCACCTAACCTCCAACTGCTCCTCAGGTGCTGTGGATAGGGCTGCCTGCTGTTCTGGGCAAGTGTGCTCACTGCCCCCTAATGTGTGTGTGTGTTGTGTTTCACTACACCGATGGGTTAAAATGTGGGGGTGAAATTTCCCTGTTGTGGGACTAGTAAGTGTCTTTTAACTTTGCATTGTGAAAACGTTCTTCAGATTGTTGGAGAATGTGCTGTAGATAGTTTTGTATAGTTTTTATATAGCACCAAAAAGAGATCAGCTATTGTTATGATGTCAAGCTTGTAATAATAGAAAAACCCTTTTGGTGCTATATAGAACACTTTTCAGAAAGGTTCTGTATAGAACCATTTATAGCATGTTCTTCATCAGTCTGAAGAACACTTTCATAATGTAAAGAAACCTTTTAACCATGCAAAAGCTTCTTTAAGTGTTCATGGTTCTATAAAGAACTATTTCCTTTACTCAAGAACCCCTGAAGAACCATCTTTTTAAGAGTGTATGACAAAAAAGTTAACCTATTCTGAGAATGTAATTTCTTAATATCAGTTTATTTAATGCAAGTTATATTAATACTTAATATGCAGTTAAATTTCATGTCGTAAACAGCAAAAAATGCTTTGAAATGTTGTTTAGTTTTATGAACTATAAGGGCTTCATTGTTGGTGTTTGTTTTAAAGGAAATTGATTTTCAAAGTAAAACTTCCAAAATGAACTTTCTAATGACATTTTATAATTATGATTTGAATTTGTGCAGAATGAAACATTTTACAGCAATAATTTATTTGTCAAATTTAATATTTAATATTTGTCAATATTAACATTTACATCATGTGTTTATAGTTAATTTTGATGTAAACAGGCATCAATGTTGATGTATCTGTGCACCACTAAAATTATCATTTCAGTGTGGTTAGAGCAAATGGTCAGACAGTCACACTGGGCTTAAGTTTATCTGAGGGTTTTACAGTAAACAATAACAAATATAATTCAAATGGTGAACAAACTAAACTGAATAAATGACCACATTGTTGAATAAGTGTAATATTACTCACTCTGCATGGCAGATGAATGGATTAATTGTTCCGCATTTCACATCTTGCCACTGGCCCTGGTCAGCCATACCAACTATAGCACAGTTCTCATTTCCACCCACATTGTCTGGCTGGTCAGACCTCCAGTATCTGAATGAGGAGGTACTCTGATCTGACCACTTCCAGGAGTCGTTGAACAGGCCGATCCAAACACACAGGCTGATTGAATATTTAGCAAAATTCCAGATCTGCTGGTTCTCAGTCTGGTTCCTCACACTGGCCAAGTCTGTGTGATGTTCTCTGCAGTAGCTCTGAGCGTCACGCCAGCTCTTTGTCTCATTAATCAATATGTATCTATCAGTGTTCATCTTATTTTCTGAAAGACATTCAAATTAATTTAAAAAATAATTAATTGGAATAAATTAAATTATTGAATTATTAATCATTACATATGTTTCAATCTTTATAACCCACAGAAAAACACTGGACACACTGATGCTACACACATTAGCTGATCAGAAATCAGTATTTTTTACGGCCCGGTTGATAAACTGATCATGTCACCTATTAACAAGGATATGGATGTTCTTACTGTCAAAACACACAAAAGTATATGGTTTGTCACATCTTTCATCATTCCAGGTTCCAGTATCTTTCAACATTGCAACACAGTATTGAATTCCCAAAAGATTATTTGGCTCTCCGCTCTCCCAGTTTCGGTAAGTGTTTCCCTTCCTGTAGAAACTTTCATCTGCCAGAGACCACAGCCATTTCCCAGTGTTCCCTCTGTCTAGACCGATCCACACAAAGCTTCTAGTTTTATCTTTCAGAGTAGCATTCAGCCTCTTCATCTCCTCCATGGTGGTGATGGTGACCAGATCAGTGTAGTTCTGTCTGCAGTAGCTCTGAGCTTCGGTCCAGGTTTTGCTCTCATTCACAAAGTGAGATCTATGAGGAATGTATGCAGAAACACCACAGACAGCTGTGAAGAACGTGAGAAAGAGCCTCATTATTAAGTGATGATAAACTGGGGCAGCAAACAAGTAAGATGCTCACAGCAGAGAACCACATATAGTACTGTGGAAAAGAAAAAATAATATTTAACTAGCCAGTAGTAATTTACCTGCTCTACACAAATATAAAAAATACAGATAATGTTAATAAAACAAGTAGTGATTTTATATACATTAATGTGTTTGTTGAAGCATTTCCAAACCTCCATTCATGGCAGTCCAGTGTTATTTGTAGTTATGATCCAGTATCTGTTCAATTCTTTATAAAATTAACTGTGCTTGTGATTAATTTGAACAAACCTGTAGGATGTCTGGGGGCATCAAAGAGACATCCGGAACTAAACCAGTGTTCTTCAAACCAGATCATAAAATATCTAGTACTTTTTTTGATATACAGCCTTAAAGACACATAAACACACACTGACCTGAGATGAGGAAGAGAACAGAAACCCATTCTGGATCCATTTCTGAAAGAAAGACAAAAGAATAATTTTTGTACAGTGCTGTGAAAAAGTATTTGCCTCTTCCCGATTTTGCATATTTGTCACACTTGAATATTTCAGATCAATACTTTTATTACTAGAAAAAGATAATCCAAGTAAACACAAAAGGCCATTTATAAATGATGATTTCAGGTACTGAAGGACAAAATCTGTTCAGCCCTACCTGACCCTATTGACCCCTTAGCTAATAAATCAACCAAACTCAATTAACAATTAGGTTCAGTTTCACTAGGCACTCCCAAGCATGATTACATGAAGCCTCAAAAAAGAGACTTCAAAGACAGACGGGAAACAAAGTCACTAAATTCTACCAGTACTTAAAGGGTTACAAAGCCATTCTTCCTAAGGTTCAGGGACTCAAGCAAACCACACTGAGAGCCATTATCCTCAAATGGAGAAAACGTGGAACAGTGGTGAACCTACCTACCGAATTTTCACCAACAGCGCATCAACGATTCATCCAGGAGGTCACAAAACAATCCAGATGAGCTAAAGAACTGCAGGCCTCACTTGCCTCATTTAACATCAATACATACGATTTCACAATAAGAAAGACACAAGGCCAAAATGTCATCAATGGGAGAGCTGCAAGGTGCAAACCACTGCTGACCAAATAGAACACAAAGGCCCGTCTCCCATTTGCCAAAAAACTTCTAAATGTCCCCTGAGACTTTTGAGATAATATTCTGTGGACTGATGAGCCAAAGATGAAACTTTTTGGAAGACATGGGTCCCATTACATCTGTTGAAAAGCTAACACTGTGTTCCACCATAAGGACATCATATCAGCAGTCGGACATGGTGGTGGTAGCGTAATGGTCTGTGAAGTTGGTTTGCTTCTGCAGGACCTGGACTTGCCATAATTGATGAAACCATGAATTTGCTCTCTATCAGAAAATTTTGAAGGAGAATGTCTGCCTGTCAGTTTGTGACCTAAAGCTCAAGCACAGTTGGGTTATGCAGCAGGACAGTGATCCGAAGTACACAAGCAAGTCCACCTCTGAATGGCTCAAAAAGAAACAAAATTAATGTTTTGGAGTGGCCGAGTCCTGACTTGAATTCCATTGAGATGCTGTGGCAAGACCTTAACCAGGCAGTTCATGCTCGAAACCCTCCAGTGTAGCCAAATTAAAACAATTCAGCGATACAAAAGACTCATTGCAAGTTATCACAAACGCTTGATTGTAGCTGTTAGTGCGAAGTGTGGCACAACTAGTTATTTGTTTATTATTACAAATATTTATCTTCAAAGAGATAATTTTGTAATTGTTACATAAAATGTACAACTATACACAAATATGAACTAATATACTTCCTTCATTTTTTTTTGTTAAAGCTGAAAGAACAAAAAACATTCAAATTCTGCATATAATTTTAAATTCAAATACTCATGAGTGTACATATGAATGTCTTGATTAAACACCAGAAATTCTCCTTTTTACAGTTTCTTTGCGACTGAAGTTTAGTTTGTTTTTTTTGTTTTTTTTTTGTTTTGTTTTTTTTTAATATAGATACAAATACAGAAGGAAATACAAAAAGAAATTAAGAATTAAGAAGTTAATAATTTTATTAAAGGCAGCTAGAAAAAAAAGAAAATCTGGCTCTCTGAATGTTTAAAAACATCACTGACTTTGATAAAATCTTATTGATAAAATAAGAGGCTTATAATTTTTTTTTGTTGTTGAAAGTAAAACTAACAGCACCATATAAAAACATGTGGCATATAGTCGGACTTTCTTAGAAAGTATTGCTAAACTAAATAACATTCAGGAATCCAAACAGGTTTTTAACCATTGAAAAACTACAAAGTGGGCCCACCACCCGCAAGGTCCAGCATGGGGGAGCGGTGCAGTGCTGTATAGGCAGTGAGAGATTGCGGGGGGCCCCTGGTGGCCTAGGCCCCTGCGGCAGAAACTGTCTCTTGGTACATGGAATGTAACCTCACTGGGGGGGAAGGAGCCGGAGCTTGTGCGGGAGGTTGAGAGGTACCAACTAGATATAGTTGGGCTCACCTCCACCCACAGTGTCGACTCTGGAACCAAACTCCTTGATAGGGGTTGGTCCCTCTCCTACTCCGGAGTTGCACAGTATGAGAGGTGCCGGGCGGGTGTGAGGATACTCACGAGTCCCCGGCTGGCAGCCATGCAGTTGGAGTTTGTCCTGGTGGACGAGAGGGTCGCCTCAATGTGAATTAAAATCGCAGAGAGGAAAACTCTGACTGTTGTGTGTGCTTATGCACCAAACAGCAGGTCGGAGTATTTGACCTTCTTGGAGCAAGTGGGCAGTGTTCTGGAAAGGGTCCCACCTACAGACTCCATAGTCTTACTGGGAGACTTCAATGCTCATGTTGGCAATGACTGTGGGAGACCTGGAGAGGCGTGATTGGGAAGAACAGCCTGCCCGATCTAAACCTGAATGGTGAATTGTTATTGGACTTCTGTGCCAGGCATGGATTGTCCATAACGAACATCAAGTTTCATACACAAGGATGTTCATAAGTGTACATGGTTCCAGAGCTCCTTGGGTCATAGGTCAATGATTGACTTTGTTGTCGTTTCATCTGACTTGGGACCATATGTTCTGGACACTCGGGTGAAGAGAGGTGCTGAGCTGTCAACCGATCACCATCTGGTGGTGAGTTGGATCAGATGGCAGGGAAGAACGATGGTCAGACCCAGTAGGCCCAAGCGAATAGTGAGGGTGTGCTGGGAACGACTGTCGGAGGCCCCTGTTCGGAAAGATTCCCACCTCTGGGAGAGCTTTTCTCGTGTCCCGGAGGAGATAGGGGACATGGAGTCTGAATGGACCCTGTTCAAAACCTCCATTGTGGAAGCTGCCATGCGTAGCTGTGGCCAAAAGCTTGTTGGTGCCTGTCAGGGTGGTAACCCAAGAACCCCCTGGTGGACACCAGGGGTGAGGGAGGCTGTCAAGCTGAAGGAAGAGGCCTTTAGGGACTGGATGGCCTGAAGGACTCCCAACTCAGCAGGTACCGACAGGCGAAAAAGGTGGCAGCCGCAATGGTTGCAGAAGCAAAATCCAGGGGGTGGGAGGAGTTTGGAGAAGCCATGGAAAAAGGCTTTCGGTCGGCCTCAAGGAGGTTCTGGACGACTGTCCGGCGACTCAGGAGCGGATGGGGTGGCTGCGCCCCAGCTGTATTTGGCAGGGGTGGGGAAGCTCTGACTTCAAATGAGGATATTGTCGGTCGGTAGAAGGAGCACTTTGAGGAACTCCTTAATCTGGGAGATATGGGGCCAGAGGCTTCTGGCGTGTCAAGCTCCATTTCCCTGGTGGAGGTCACTGAGGTAGATGGCAAGCTCTTCAGTGGCAAGGCACCGGGGGTGGATGAGATTCGTCCGGAGATGCTTAAAGCTCTGGATATTGTGGGGCTGTCATGGCTGGCACGCCTCTGCAATATTCAACGGACTTCGGGAACGGTACCCTTGGACAGGCAGACCGGGGTCGTGGTGCCTATTTTTAAGAAAGGGGACCAGAGAGTGTGTGCCAACTATTGGGGTATCACACTGCTCAGCCTCCCTGGGAAAGTCTATGCCAAGGTGCTAGAAAGGAGACTTCAACTGATAGTTGAACCTCGGATTGAGGAGGAACAATGTGGATTCCGTCCTGGCTGTGGAACAATGGACCAGCTTTTCACCCTCTCACGGATTGTTGAGGGGGCATGGGAATTTGCTACATGTTTTGTGGATTTGGAAAAGGCTTACGACCATGTTCCCCGAGATATCTTGTGGGAGGTCCTCCGGGTGTATGGGGTGCCGGGGCTGCTACTCCGGGCCATTCAATCTCTGTACTCCCGGAGTGAGAACTATGTTCGTATACTCGGCATTAAGTCGGACTCTTTCAGTGTTAACGTTGGACTTCACCAGGGTTGTGCCCTGTCTCCACTCCTGTTCGTGATATTCATGGACAGGGTGTCAAGGCATAGCCATGGTCAGGAGGGCATTATGTGTGGAGGCCGAAGGGTGGCGTCTCTGCTATTTGCAGAAGATGTTGTTCTTTTGGCTGGATCACATGGATGCCTCCAGTGCGCACTGGAGCAGTTTGCAGCTGAGTGTGAAGCGGTTGGTATGCAGATACCTCCACGTCTGAGTCCATGGTCTTAGCCCTGAAAAGGATGGCATGCCCACTCCAGGTAGGGGGAAAGGACTTGCCCCAGGTGGAGGAGTTTAAGTATCTCGGGGTCTTGCTCACGAGTGATGGGAAGAGGGATGAGATCGTCCGCAGGCTGGGACAGGCGGCAGCAGTAATGCGGTCACTGTACCGGACTGTAGTGGTGAAGAGGGAGCTGAGCCATAAGGCCCTCACCTACGGTCATGAGCTGTGGGTAATGACCGAAAGAATGAGATCACGAATACAAGCGGCGGAAATTAGCTTTCTTCGCAAGGTGGCGGGCTACACTCTATTTGATAGGATGAGGAGCTTGGACATCTGGGAGGAGCTCAGAGTAGAGCTGCTACTCCTCCGCATTGACAGGAGCCAGCTGAGGTGGTTCGGGCGTCTGATCCGGATGCCCCCTGGATGCCTCCCAGTGGGGGTGTACCAGGCACAGCCTACCAGGACAAGACCCCGGGGTTGTCCTAGGACGCGCTGGAGGGATTATATCTCTAGGGTCCCCAGGAATGAGCTGGAGGAAGTTGCGGGGGACAGGGTCGTCTGGGATTCTCTGCTCTCCCAACTGCTACCACATCCCTATCTGGACTAAGCGGTTAACGACGATGATGAAAACTACAAAGTGTAGGGGTCAGCTCCACACTAATGCAACTCTGCTTTTCAAGAACTGATCTATCAAGAACATTGGCTATCAAAAACATTTATTATAGATAAGTATATATTTCAGTACTGAGCTAGCTCTCAATGAATGGTTCAAAGCATGGCCTCACTGGCATGCTAAATCAGTCATTATCTTACATTTCTGTTGTATTAACAAACATGCTAAGTTAGAAAGGACATTTTAAACTGAGGGAAATTTTCAACCATAAAAATCCAACAAGTCATAATCACAGAGATACAGGTACTCACATAAAACAGACAGCACAACTGCACTTTTCTTTATATTAACAATCCTGCTTGATTACCTATGAAAACACAAATCAGTTTTCCGTTTCTATATAAAAATAGAATTTTGAGGTCTGAGCTTTTCCATCTAGACTTTCACACCTGGAATGTGGTTCCAGTGAGTTCCAGCATATATCCAACCATGCCTATACCATTTCTGTCAAATCTAGTAAGTTTTACAATTTTTAAAACCTTACATATGATAATCTAAAAGTTGACTCTCATGCTCAAACTACTCAAACACTCTTCAAAATATGAAACCACTCTAAGAAATATGCAAATAACAATATAGACATTTTTGCCATGGTTGAGTCAATTCCAGAAATAAAACAAACTAAAAAAATATCAGAGGTGCAGACATGAATCCATCAATAAAGAATGTAAATTGAATAGAAATTAAATGTATATGAGCTTTACTCTTGTTTTCCCACATGAAACTGCAAGAAATATTGACTAGAAACACTAAAAGACTAGTTAGACTTAATCTCAAACAGGGTTAGGTGTTTTGGGGTCTCGATCTTGACTTGGTCTTCTTCAAATTTGGACTTATTCTTGACTTGAATGGCATGGTCTTGATAAGGTCTTGCAATCATTTTATCATACAATTCTCGTTTACCTGTCTTAGTTTCTGCTATAAATGCTAAAAAAGTAAATAAAATATATAACAAAGCTAATTTGTTATATATTTTAAGTCAGTGAATGTGAATCCTACCTGTGTGCTTGTTCTTCAGTTTCCACTCTGCATGTACTTCGATTTGCTTCTTGTCACTATATGACTTCGTATTCTGTCATCTCAGTACATCTCTTTCAACTTTAACCCCTCCCATCTGTGTCATTAGAATTCCTGCTAACTGATGTTATCTGAACCACACTACAGGTTACAGTTTCAGTGCCTGTGGCGCCATAACAGACTTTGCATGAATGTCTGTCAACACATCTTTTGTTTCTAACTTTAATTAAAGATTTTATATATATATATAGTCATGCAAAGTATGTTGTGGCCCCGTAGGCACTGAAAATGTGACCAGTAGTGTGGTTCAGATAACATCATTTTCTTTTTTATCTTTGATATAAATTACATACAACATGCAAGCTTGGAAGCCACTGTTTTCAACTATTATTAACAACGAAATGCTGATCAGTTGGACTCTTGTAAGAAACATAAATTTATATTACAAAATCATTCAGTCTTTTTGTTCATGCTTTATTTTGAAGGTCCACTGATACTTAAATTACTAGCAAACTGTCTAGTGATAGTTGATTATTAGCATCATTATGGTTAGTGTTACATTTAGGCGTAGGTGTAGGCTTTGTGTTGAAGTTGAGATAGGGTTGGGTTTACCGTTAGCGTAACATTTAATATTGTAGTGACCCATTGCTGGCTGTGGACGCTTGCAGAGAGTGCCATGTTACGAGAGATGGCATATCTCTACTGTAACCGGCTGTGCTCACATGCACTGGAAGTCACATCTCACCATACAATGTCCGCACATGGGGAATACAAAGAACACACCAACTGCCCCACAGCACAGAATAGCACAAGCAACTCTGTACTAGTAACACACAACCCATGCATCCATGTGACGCCACTCTGCATGGCTACACCTCCTGCATGTCCACAGCCAAAAGTGGGTCACAAGCTTAGTTGCATTTAATGCTTATTTAGTGTAATGCTATTTAAAGACAGGCTAAGCATCTACAGTGGACCTTCAAAATAAAGCAATACTATTAAGTTTGTGGTGCGAATTGCCTTATTAAAACCCTGTTTAGGACAGTTTTACCATCTTATTAGTGATGATTATAAGTCCACTTAAGAATATGGAGCACATCTAGAATTATTAGTCATGTATTCAACTCTTGTTAATTCTAAAGCAGCAATACTCCAAAAGAGCACACTTGATGAAACCAAGGGCCTGTAGGAATCAAATACTGCCAATTCTGCATTAATAAGACGTCAATTTAGGTGGTTATTCATGGTCAGTAATTTGCACAACAATGTATGTGTATACTGTGTGTTGTTATGACTAATTGGTCAAGGTACAGAACAGGCGAGGGTCGATACAGAAGAGCAAACAGAGTCCATAAGGATAAGGCTAAAGTCATAAACGAGAGAACAAGCGGAAACACAAACCGGAAAGTCAACCATGAAAAGCAAAGGCTGTGTAATGCGTAGTAGCTGATACAATACCTCGCAAAAAAACAACTGATGCAGATATATATGGTCCATACAACAGGTGTCAACAATCAATAAGCAGGCAAGCAAGAACATGGATATGTGGACTGCTGAGAGTTTGTGCATTCTGGGAGTTGGAGTCTAAATGCAATTTTACTTATTTTCAAATGACAAACCTCCAATTCTGTACAACCTTATTTCAAAAAAGTTAAAAGTTCAACAGATAAGAAGTTGGATTTTATATGCATTTTAATGTGTTTTTTGAACCATTTTAAACCTCACATGTTAGCCCTTCATAAATATTAGTTCCCAGGTGGCACAACCGTCTAAGCGTTAGCCCTATCATCAGGAGATCGGCTGATGCTACATAGAGATCACAACTGGCCTCGTTCTCTCTGTATGGGTGCCCGCCCCCCCCATCACTCAACGCGATGCTGGTCAACACAGGCATCTGGTGGTTGGCACTTTCCTTTGAGTGTATTCGGCTGTCCAATGACATTGCGTGAGCGGCAGTTTGAAAAGATGTGGTGGAGCTTCACAGGACTTGGAGGAAGCCTGTGTTAGCCTTCACCATCCTAGCGTTGATAGCATCGTGTGATTGGGGGAGTCCTAACTAGCGGGTGGAATTGAAGATGACTAATTTGGGGAGAAAATTGGGTAAAAAAAAATCAAAAAAAGAAAAAAAAAATCAGTACCTGTTTCAGCAAATCAATACTTCATTAAATCAAATGAACTTTTCTGGTGATTAATTTGAACAAACCTATGCAGTATTTGGGGTCATCAGCGAGACATCTTAGACTCACCTTGTGTTCTTCAAAAAAGATCATAAAATATCAACCACTTTTTGAAAATATTGTTAACTTTTTACTGTAATCATTTGTATTTCTATTTATGTTAAAATCACATGATTATTTATGGTAACTATTTATTCAATCAGAAATTATTTAAAACAATTTGCTTAGGTGTCTGAGACTGTTACACAGTATTGTTTAAGAATAAGAAAATAAAAAGGCTCTCAAAACACTTTGGAATTAAATCATAGCACATAAAACACACATTGACCTTTTTGAAAAGCAGAAAAATCCACTTCTGATCCATTTCTGAAAGAAAAACAGAAGAAAGTGATATTTTTTGAACAGACATTTAGCTTCATGCGGACACTTTAGTACAAAATACAACAACAATACATGATTTCTCTGAGCTCTTTCATCTAGACTTTCACTCCTGTGTAGCGTACTTGGCTATTTTTAATTTAAAAACTGAGCTGAACTTTCTGAACAAAGCAGAACTTTCTTTTACTTCAGGGACAAACAGTTTCTTCAGGCGTCAGGACGTCTGGAAGAGGAACCAATAGTAAATTTATGACTGAGTGCTAAAGACACTTCTCCCAACCCCCATATCTGCTCTCAACTCAGAACCATTCTACTTTTGACCCAGAGGTCTGGAGACCCTTCTGACTGACATTTTAAGTGCGACATCAAAAGGAACCTCATGTCATCCTGAGGAGACTTTAGACCTAACCTGAATAAATGCTGGATAGAAAATAAGTTGTGACTTTTTGGAAATTCCTTCCCCCCTCTCACACATACACACATCTCATCCCCCCACATAGAAAGAGACCTGGGCTTAGAACAGATAAGTTTGTCCAAGACGGCATCACTAATCAACCTGGGTTGAGGGACTGTTGAGACCTCATGAGTCCCTTAGCAGACACTTTAGAAATTCTTTTAAATTCCTAAATTCCTTTAGCACTTTGCTACAGACTGAAATTTAAAACTCTGCTTCATTCTGTAGTCTCTGGCAAATGATGAAACATCAGTCTTTGATTAAATGTTAAATCAAATGACTCTCTTTAATCAAACTGTGAATAATACCTCTGTCACTGTTAAGATGCTACATTGTCAGGAATGAATTCATCCTTCCAAAGCTAAATTAATTCTAAACTTCCTACACAATAGTTATTTTGATTCTTGAATTGTAACCCAGTTTCATTAATTTAGATTACTGTGTTGATCTGTGATCATTTGTAACTGTATTTCATGTAATTATTATTTTCTTTTTCTTGAGAAATTTGCAATACATATGTTTCTTTGAATCATGGTTTCATGATATGAATGATATATGTTTTTCTTTCAAGTCTTAATGTAGTTTTTATTAGAAGTAGGACATTAAGGTTTGTAGCTTGGGTTGCTCTATATACTTTAAGCATAGTTTCTACCAGCATATCGACATATTGGTAATAATGTACTCATTTATTTTACTTAGTTATCCTGTAACTTTTCATTTAAGCATTGTGTAGAAATGTTAATGTTGATCTAATACTAATTTGAACTATGATATTTTGAAAAATCATATCATTTCCTCTCCTTAGTAGTGTCCCTTGCAAGTAGCTTTATGTAATACTGTAAGCTCCATAGTCACAATAGTCAGTGTGAAAAGAGTAATGTTTTATATATGAAATGTCATGTCTTTAATATTCTTTTACTTAAGTGTTAACCACACTCAGAAACTCTAAAGTACTGTCTGATGAAACTTAAGCAGCCCAGCAGACAAAGAAATTGCATATTCATATATGACACAAAACCAACAAAAAAAAGTCCCTGTCTAATCTCCACCTTAGCTCTGCCCCTCAAAGGTCTTCTTTTAAAACAAAAACGGGAAGGCTAAGTCAGTTGATTGAAGAGAGTGAGACAGCCAACCTGTAACCACAAAGAAACAACAAGAAAAGATGCCTGCTGTCCTTTCTTGTTTGCACTTTTAGCCTGCAGATTTGTTTTTTGTTTCATTTCGTTTGTTTTTTATTCTGTTCATTCACTCTGTAATCCTGAAGTGTTGGTTACTGCTAGACTGTTGAATAGTCGCATCTAGCTACGTTTGTTGGCAAGTTTCATCAATTCATTTTGAAAGTCTAATTGGCAACAATAGGTCACTACGAATATAGTATAAAAACAGAAATAAAACTGACTGAAAGTGCTGACTGAAATCCATATGAAGAGACTGCTCCAGCAACCCCCACATAAGGCTGTGGGGGACGACTTCACCAAGTAACCCCTGCAAGCAAGCTTCCTCACCAGAGGACGACATGCCAATTTGTTCTGATTAGAATCATTGCCCCCAGCATCGCCCCTTTGGTGGCTTTGAATTTGACCCACGGACCCTTCTCCAACCTATGCATGCAGTAGCAGCTCTTCCTCAATGCGAGCCATACCTCACCATGGCTTGGCTGAAGCATCAGGTCATAAGACTGCCATTTTATATGATTTCAGCCTTGCTGTGACTCTGTTTCCCCTTTTATCTAAACCTTGGCCAGTTCTATGCTAGCATTAGTATTGTTCTGCTTGAAGCCATGTAATAATTTAGAGTCTCAGCTATTTACAGTACATTTGGTGAATTTAATACCTCTGGTTTCTCTTCATAACTGGTAATATAATATTTAGTGCATATTTACCTTTTGTAATCCATCATTTGGTGCTAATATAGTTCTATCAATAAATAACCAATTATTAAAGATATTACTTGTGGCTCTGTAGGTGTAATTGGTTGACTAAGATGATCTACTGGTCCCTGTCAATGGGTAAACC